ATCTAAAGTTTTTTGTTTGTTTGTTTGTTTTTTTGTTTTCCCTGACAGGAGTCATTGTTATTTTTTCAGCACAGTTAGAATCTATTTCCTATCTTGTATATATTAATTATTTGGAAAATAAGACTTCATCATTTCTAAATCTTTGGAACTGTCATTTCCAAGATTAGCCTTGATTGTTACATTAGTATCTAGTGGCAGGTCACAGTGAATAGGTCAGACAAATTTGTTTATTTTCTTCTACAACTAGATCTGGAATATTGAGGAATTAAACTGAGCCATGTAGAAGCTTGTAGAACTTCATCTTTCTTCTGTTAAACTCTTGAACAGAGCCAGCTCTACATAGCATACTTCTTAGGTCTATATTCTATTTATTTTATTCTTTATCTTTTCTCACACAAGCCATAAAGAACCCAGGATGTAAACAACAAAAATTGTTCATAATTTCATTAATTCTCAGAAGTCTCTGTGGTTCAATATGGAGGTTCCATCACATTTATTAACTTTCTTTAATCCCTAACTGCTCTCAGAACTTATTCTTCCTACTGGGATTGGTGAATCAAGAAAAGGGTCAGAGTAAAGGGCAAGTTTTACTGAGGGTTATAAGTGAGGGCCTAAGTGTTCTAGGATTCACAGATTTCAAAACTTTTTGATGGCGATTCAGAATAAGAAATTATTATTGGTTTTATAAAAATAAAATGTACTTATACAATTTAAACTATTGAACAAAAGTTCAAGAAACGATATTTAACCCATCTAGAATTTATTGAAATACATTGCATCCAGTGTCATGATGATCCATCTCTACTTATTCTACTATATTCTATTCTATTCCTTTAAGTAATGCTAAGAATAATACACTAATTCCATTTTTCAATTTATTAATGACTCACAATCAATAATTTGGAAAAGACTACTTTGTTAAAATAAATATATTTTAATTACATCTTTAGGTACATATATATTGAATTACATATATTACTCATTTAGGATGTTATCCCTGGGGCACCTGGGTGGCTCAGTTGGTTAAGCATCTGCCTTTGGCTCAGGTCATGATCTCAGGGTCCTGGGATCAAGCCCTGCACCAGGGTCCCAGCTAGCAAGGAGTCTGTTTCTCCCTCTGCCCATCCCTGTTAGTGCTCTCTCTCTTAGATAAGTAAAAAAAAAATACAAATGAATTAAAATAAAATAAATTAAAAAATAATAAAGTAAAATGTTATCCCTTAGTGATATAAACACTTTCAGTTTTCAAGAAATGAATTATAAGTCATGGTTAGAATATGAAAAAAAAAAAGTTACACAAATCAAGTTTAGTATCTTGATAATTTTGGAGACTGGCAGATGCATTAGATCCTCTGTGTAGTTATAATTCATTTGTAAGCCAGTTGTCTAACTTTAATGTATTCCACAATATAATCTTTTAGACTATTCATCCATGCTAAAAATCCTTATGCAACATATGTTCTTTTTCATTTTTATTGTTTTTTTTTCTGCCATTCTTCAAACCTATTCTACCTTCCCACAACAAGCACAGAACATTTCAGCAAATGTATTCTCTACAATCTGAAAAGGTGACTGAAACCAATCTAAAGGCTTATATAATCAGTTAATAACTACGTTTCACTAGGACACACTGTTAAAAGGTCACAACCTATAAATGCCAAGTTTATTCCAAAAGTACATTATTAGTTTATCCATGTTGACAGAGTTAGAAGGACATGGGTTTCCCAGTAAGTGTTTAGAATTTCTAATTTCTCTGATGTATAATTGTGGGTTCAGCCAGTATTCAGTCATTTAGTTCATAGACAGATCTATGGGCTTAGAATGATAATTTTTCATTTCCACCATAGGAGGCATTACAAAGTGCTGTTGAAAGCAGGATCTCATGTGCACATTATTTAAATAGACATAAATTGGGAGCTTTTATATACACCTGTCATAGGTTCTCAATCTCCATCTGTTCAATATAAATGGATTCCAATTATATTTGTATTTTCTGCAATTACCCATATTCAAAACTCAGTTAAAACTATGGAAGTCTTGGGGTTCCTGGGTGGCTCAGTGGGTTAAGCCTCTGCCTTCGACTCAGGTCATGATCTCAAGGTCCTGGGATCTGGCCCTACATCAGCTCTGCTTAGCGGGGAGCCTGCTTCCCCCTTCTCTCTGCCTGCCTCTCTGCCTACTTGTGATCTCTGACTGTCAAATAAATAAATAAAATAAAATAAAATTAAAAACTATAGAAGTCTCTGTTGTATGCATTTTCATTGTATCTTTGGTAGCAGATTTTCACTATGAGTAACAAAAATAATTATTTAAAAATATCTTTCAGCAAATAATGTTAGTGTACATTCCAGAAGAAGCAATGGCTATATAAATAATAATAATTTTATTAGTAAATACAAACACAAAACAAAAGTGTCTTTACCTTCATATCCTCTAATTTAAAAAAGTAGTATCTAAGTTAAATTTTGTGTCTGCTCATTTCTCATGCTATTATCACATTTTGTTGGATATCCTAAATAGTTTTATTTTATTTTATTTTTTAAAGATTTTATTTATTTATTTGACAGACAGATCACAAGCAGGCAGAGAAGCAGGCAGAGAGAGAGGAGGAGGAAGCAGTCTCCTGCTGAGCAGAGATCCCGATGTGGGGCTCGATCCCAGGACCCTGGGATCATGACCTGAGGCGAAGGCAGAGGCTTTAACCCACTGAGCCACCCAGGGACCCCTCCTAAATAGTTTTAAATATGTGATTACAATTTTGACTTATAGTTATTTGTCCTTAATAATGTGCATATATACATTGTCTTTTTGCAATAAATTTAGAAAGAATCTATTGAGATAGTCTAGTTATGTCTTATCATCATCATTCTTATTACCACTTTAAAAAGCAATGTTTTGAAAACAAAAGAGCAATGTAGAATGTTCCTTTGATAGTACTCTTCTTTTAATTTATTATAAACCGAGTTAATTTGCTTAATACTGGATATCAAAGTTAAGAATTAAATTTTCAATAAAATCTTTAAAATGATAGCAAAATTCATTTTAAGAGAAAATAAATATATTTTGGTAATTGTGATCCATTTTTTCTATTAGGGCTGTATTTGGTAAATGTATTTTGATTTTCTTATCCAGGTAGAATTTTTTAGTAAACTATGTATTTATTCCAATGACAGTATAAGGAAAATATACTAAAGTGATGGTCTGCTATGATCAATGGGCTTACAATTATTAAAAGTCAATAATATATATTTATATTCCAATAGTGTGCATTACTCTTGGTAAAGAAAATAACCCACTTTCAGGTACCAATATAAAAAAAAAATAAGATCAATGTTCCTTGGTTTTAAATGAAGGTGTTTAAGCATTGTATTGAAGAATAACTTACATAAAGTGCACAAGTTCTATGTCATATACCTTAGTACATGCCCACAAATTGAACATCTATGTAGCCAGTCCCCAGATTGAAAAACAGAAAATTAGAAAAAATTTTAAAAAATTACAAAAACAGAAAAACCCTAAAGCTCTTATCATAGCTATCCACCATGCTCATCAGCACACTGCCAAGATTTATCTCCACTTATGATACTGAATAACTACTTTATGCACTTCCTAAGATTGAATCTGTCTTCCAGAAGAAACTATTAGATTCTTGGCACTGGGAGGAAAATGTATATACATATATTCTGTCCATTTTTAAATTGGATTATTCATTTGTTTTATTTAAATTCCAGTTAGTTAACATACAGTGTAATATTGATTTCAGGTATACAATTTAGTGATTCAGTGCTTACATACAACAACTGGGGCTCATATAAATGCACTCCTTAATCCTCATCACCTATTTAACCAATCCCTCCACCTACCTGCCCTTTGTTAACCATCACTTTATTCTCTGTAGTTGAGAGTCTCTTTCTTGCTTTGCTTCTTTCTCTTTTTGCCCTATGATAATTTGTTTTGTTTCTTAAATTCCACATAAGAGTGAAATGATATGGTATTTGTTTTTCTCAGACTATTTCACTTAATGTGATACTCTTTAGCTCCAACCACATTATTGCAAATGGCAAGCTTTCATTCTTTTTTGTGTCCAAGTAATATTCCATTCAACATATATACTACTTCTTTATTTATTCATCAGTTGGAGGCACATGGGTTGTTTCTATAATTTGGTTATTACTGCTATAAACATTGGGGTATATGTTATCCATTTGAATTAGTATTTTTATATTCTTTGGGTAAATACCTAGTAATGTAATTGCTGGATCATAAGGTTAAAGACCTAAATGTAAGATCTGAAACCATAAAAATCCTAGAGGAGTAACAGATTACTGCCTAGAGGCAGTAACCTCTTTGACACTGGCCATAGTAACTTCTTACTAGATCTATCTCCTGAGGCAAGGGAAACAAAAGCAAAAATAAACTATTGGGAATTCATCAAAATAAGAAGCTTCTGCACAGTAAAGGAAACAATCAACAAAACTAAGAGGCAGTCTTCAGAATGGGAAAAGATATTTGCAAATGGTAATTTCTGATAAAGAGTTAGTATCCAAAATATATAAAGAACTTATAAAACTCAACACCCCAAAAATGAATAATCTAATTAAAAAATGTGCAGAAGATATTTTTCCAAAGAAGACATCCACATGGCCCACAGACACCTGAAAGGATGAAAAGATGTTCAATATCACTCATCATCAAAGAAATACAAATCAAAACTACAATGAGATATCACCTGACACCAGTCAGAATGACTAAAATTAGCAAGACAAGAAACGAGAGGTGTCGGTGAAGATTCAGAGAAAGGGGAACCCTCTTACACTGTTGGGAATGCAAAGTGGTGCAGTCACTCTGGAAAACAGTATAGAGGTTCCTCAAAAAGTTTAAAATAGAATTACCTTATGATCCAGCAATTGCACTACTAGGAATCTACCCAAAGAAATATTAGATTTTAAAATGTGTATGCACTTGTGCTAACAATTAAATGCTTTCTTTTTCATGGAAAGGCCCAAAATGGTATCCTTCCCAAGTTGGCCTTCAGCTAGAACAAGGTAAGAATCAATTTTCACTGATTTATTTATTTAATTTGGAATCTATTTTCTGTCATCAATAGCTAATGTTTATTTACCACTTACTAAATGGTAGGCATTGTAGTAAGTGCTCTAAGTCAGTTATGTCCATTGAATCTCCATATAAGTTTGTGCTTCATTTTTTGCATGAGAAATTTTAGTCTCAAGGAGATAATTTTCACACATCCACCGTCATGTACATTGGAGGCAGGATCTGGGCTAACATCTTTCTGTTTCTAAAAGTTTTATTGCTTTATTCCCTAATTCTATTATCACTTAAAAAGTTCTCAGGGATACTGCTCAATAATTTTTTCCTTCCTTCCCTTTTCCTTCTTTCTTCTTTCCTCTTTCTTTCTTTCTTTCTTTCTTTCTTTCTTTCTCTTTCTTTTTGACAGCAGAATAAATGAGCTAAGGAGAGCAAAAATGAATGAATGAATTTTAGGGAAAATATCATATCCAGTATTAAGCCTCAAGTTTCTCAAACTATTAAATCCTATTGTCCATTAAAAAAATTTATAAGTAGATACACTTCAAAGTTACTCTTACTAAGAATCATTGTCAGTGGGGCCCTTGGGTGGCTCAGAGGGTTAAAGCCTCTGCCTTCGGCTTAGGTCATGATCCCAGCGTCCTGGGATCGAGCCCCACATCGGGCTCTCTCCTTGGCGGGGAGCATGCTTCCTCCTCTCTCTCTTTCTGCCTGCCTCTCTGCCTACTTGTGATCTCTCTCTGTCAAAAAAATAAATAAAATATTAAAAAAAAAGAATCATTGTCAGTGATATTACATCAACTTGACCTTAAATTTGGACTTGTTAAATAAGAGGTGTGGTAGCATATAAATTTTGGAAAGAATACTTACTCGAAGTCAGTAACAGTAAATTTACAAGAGGCATCTATTAAGGAATTTCAGTCTCTAATTTTTCCATACAGTGATGAACTGCCTTTTTTTTTTTCTTTTTTTCTGGTACCTTTGCTAATACTCAGTACTTAAGGACAAATGATGATTTCCTCACATCTCTCTAAGGTGTTTTGTTTGTTTTCATTTTTTCTTAGACATTCCAGCTTTCTCCAACACCTCTATGCTGAAGAAATAGGAATCATGGTATTCTTAGAAGTCATACTTTCTTGATGATCTCAAATTCTTCCAAGCTCAAATGTGAAAGATAAATTCCTATCTGGCTAGAGATTAAAGGAGAAGATTCATTATCTTCCTTATTTTTGCCTCTGCAGGGCCTAGTATATGCCAACTATATAAACACCTTTCAACACATGAATGTTCAAATAACATAAAATTATATAGTGTTTTTTTCTAAATTAACTCTTATATAAAGAAGACTCTAGAATGCCATAAGCATCAATATAAAATAATGTTCAATTTGAAGGATACTACAAGAAACTGGGAATTTCTGTTCATTCTTCCTAGTGAATGTGACTTTTTACTTTCTCTTCACATATATTTATTTTGTTCCCTTCCCATAAATGTACAGGATATGATCTGAATAAAATACAGTCATTAAGTGTCCTTGAATAGAAATGTGATGACATATTTGAAAAAAAACAAAGGGTCAATTATTTTAGCAAGCTAAGCAGGATGTGGTACAAAGAGGTTGTTTGGAGTAACACAGAATTTTGAAACCTGACTCTTCTTACCTATCTATAGAATCTTCTTTCATAAAGTAGATCTAATAAAGAGCTTAACCCATGGTTTGGTTTGTGTTTTATAAGTGTTATAGAAGGTCATATTTATAAAGCACTATAATGATTGACACATGGTAGATACTTCATCAATTAGTTATAACTGATGTTATAAGTATTAATATTAGGGAAAGAAATCTTAACACTAAAACAAGGTAAGGCCTAAATATTACATATATTTCCTGCCAGAATATATTTCCCAGAATGCTTATACTATGAACAAGGACATCATACAGACTTAGTCTTTACAGTTTCCTCACACAAAAGACAGCAGTAAAACATAAAAGAAAATAAAAAGCAGACTTTAAGAGAAAATGAATAACTTTTTTTTTTTTTTTTTCTTTTTAAGCTCAGTGGTTGTGCTGAGCTGAGCTGGTCTTAGCATTACTTGTGTGGGTCCACTCAAGCAGCTTCAGTCAGCTGGTGGGTTCTTGGTGACTGGCTGGTCTAGGATGGCCATGACTGTAGCCAATCCTCTCTACCCTATTTGGTTTCCCATGCTTCAGCAGAATATTTGGGACTTGTTCTCATGGTGGATTCAGGGGTGCAAACATATGAGCATAAGCACTCAAGAATTCTTAAAGCCCGGGGTTGGAAGTGTCATAATCCTTGCCCTACATTCTGTTAGCTAAAGTGATTGACTAGGCTAAGCCATATTCAAGGGAGTGTAGAAATAGGCATCAACTCTTACAGGAGATACTAAAAGTCATACTGTAAATGGTGTGGATATGGGAAGGGTAAGGACCTACAGTCACAACTGTAATACAACGGTCATAGAAACTGGTAACTAAAATTTGTTCTTTCTTCCTACCTTGATTAATATACTTAATAATGTTCTGGAAGCACAGAGCTGAATTTCTAACATTTAAAATCATTGGATTTCTACAACAGAAAGGTAAAACATGGGTAGACTTGGTCATTTCCTTCCTAACCCTGGCTCTAATCATCCATGCTCCTTATATAAGAGCCCTGACAAACCCCTAGGTACATACCCTAGCATCTGGCCTATTTGGGGGGAAGAAAAGCCCAAAAAAGAAGATTTTTTTAAAATAATTTGGCATAAAATTTAGGGGACTTAAGTGGCTGAAGCCCAATACCCATGGCACTGGTTCTTTTTTTAGGAGTATGTTCTTGGCCCTACACATTTGTTTCCCTTTGGTAAAGGACATAGGCATAGAAGGCCAAGGACAGGTTTCCCTGTTTACTGAGTCTGAGTAGTATGGTTAATGATATGCCTGGATTCTCTCCTTCTACTCAAATGCCATATTGATGGGACTGCATTTTAAAAATATGCCAATGGTCTGTTCCTTGCAGTCATCAAGAGTGATACAGGAGTAGAAACTAATCCCCTCCCCCAAGGTGTCAATAGATGTATGTTGGAAAGATGTTTTCAGCACTTTCAGTTCGTACAGAGATCTCAGATTATTTCGTCTTTATTAACATTTCTTGTTGTTATATATGATTGTCAAAATGATAATGGTCATTTGTATATTGAAGTTTTTACCTTGATTCATGTTGCATTAACTTCCTATTTCTGTGTAACAAATCACCATAAAACTAGGCTTAAAATAACACTCATTTATTAGCTTGAAGACACAGTATGGCAGGATTCTTTGCTCAGAGTATCAAAATCAAGGTGTTGGCTGAACAGAATTCTCATCTTAAGACGTTTAGAAAGTTCTACATCTTTTTTTTCATTCTTATTTCATTCTTACTGTCTGAAGATTTTTTTTTTTTTTTTGGCTCTAAGACAGAAGTTCCTATTTCCTTGCTACTTGTTGCATTATATAGGCCATTACAGTTCCTAGAGGCTATTTTCTTTACTTGCCATATGGTTCTCTCCATCTTCATCCCAGCCATCTTTCTGATACTATAGTACCAGGATTCTAGTACTTTGAATCTGAATTCTTCTCACTTACCTATTCATGCAGATTCAAATAATACATGATTAACTCAGCCTACCTGAATAATCCCTCTTATAAAGCCACAAAACATGACCCAGTCAAGGGAATGATAGCCTACCATATACATATTGGTTTTATCAAATATCATTTTCGAAATTTGAATACATAAAAATTGCACATTTTTACCTTACTTTAAAATATCTGTAATTGTAAATCATTGTAATTGGATTCTGAAAATCATCAAAAAATAGTCATAAATTAACATTTAATGTATCTTGGAAAAATAGAGAACGGAGGGTGCTTCAGTGGTTCAATCAGTTAAACATCTGCCTTTAGCTTAGGTCATGATCCCAGGGTGCTGGAAGGGTCCCCACTTTGGCTCCAGGTTCCCTGCTCATCTCTCTCTCTCTCCTTTTATCCCTCCCCCATGCTCATGTTCTCTCTCTTGCTTTCTCTCTCTCAAATAATAAGTTAAATCTTTAAAAACAATAGAGAATGAAATGACACTTTTTCATGACTGGGGATAAAGATAAATCACAGATAGATTGGCATAAAGAATAATAAAAATACAAACAACTACAATGACAATAATAATGGTTTTATACTTATGAGATTCATTTAACCCTAGTCCACTTTTATTTCTGTGTGGTATATCTTTCTTTGAATAAAACAAGATATATTTACCATTGTCTCATTTATGAAGATTTAAGGTTTTACAATTGTTTTGTAATTATAAATAATGCTAAAATGAACAGCTTTGTACATATCTTTCAGGACACACATGTTGGGCTTATCTAGTGTTTATTATTAAGAATGGAACATTTCCTTTACATGTCTTCTAAGACATTAGTTGCATTCTTCTCCGATTTCATGAGAAACTCTTTTCAGTAATCTTTGCTCTATGTTTCTCTTATTACTTTGAAAGCCATAGTGTTAGAAATCTGATTCAGTTTCCATTTTCTTTTCAAACTGAACACTTAAATAATCTCATCACATGGCATGGCTTTACATGTTAATGACTTCCAAATATCTACAGACACACCTACCCAACTGCCTTTTTGCTAGCTCCTACTTGAATGTCTAATAAATATCACATACTTGACGTACTTTAACTAAAATCTTTATTTCTACCCCCAAATCCTTCTCCTTCCTCAGTCTTCTCCCTACCAGTTAATGAAATTTAATATTCCTAATTGCCCAGGCCAAAAATCTAAGAGCTGTCTTTATTTACCTGAAATACTTTCTTCTCAAGTTGAACCTGCTCTGTGTTCAAAACATATCTGAAAATGATGAACTTTTAAGATTTCTACCAGTGCCACCTTAATCCAAAAAATTCCTTCTTGATGAATTTGTTCCTAAGTATTCTTACTTCCCTTCCTCCCAGTTTCCATACAGCGTCCATAGAGATCTTTTAAAACATACATCAAGTCACTCTGTTGATACTTACAATGACCTCTAAAATTTACTTGCCCTATTTTATCATGTAATAAAAGAATTTAGAGAACAGTTGACATCTATGTCTACTGACACCCCAAATTATACTTAAATATATATATATATAATTTATTTATTTTAGAGGGAATGAGGGCATGAGCAGAGAGAGAGAGAGAGGGACATGCACTGAGCAGGGAGCCCAACACAGGGCTTGATCCCAGGACCCTGAGATCATGACCTGATCTGAAGGCAGACACTCAATCCACTGACTCACCCAGGTGCCTCCTACAAAATTATGCTTTAAAAACACCTTGTATCATATTCAATTATCTAATATTATCTAATATTAGATATTATCTAATATTACATTTTCTCAGAACACAACAGGATAGTAGCTAGATGTAGGCTGCACTTTGTCTAGGTAGAGGTGGGAAACTACTGTATATTTGAAAAATTGTTAGATATTTTATAAAATGGGTTTGTTTACATTTTGCTTTACTTTAAATATTTATTATACATTGCAATTTCTATGTATGATTTATCTTTAGTATTCACAATTTTTCACATTAAAAATTATTTGTTAAAATCACTATGCCTTGAAATTGTATTAAAATATTTTTCCTTATTATTTAAGGTGGGCCTTTTTTGAAGGACTACATAACCATTCAAAGCATCGCAGCTTCCTCCATTGTCACTCTTTATTTTACAGACCTAGGTCAACAGGTCAGTTGGACTACAGTAAGTATCAATTTGAAATGCAATATACATGTCCCACATTTTGATAGGAAAAATGTGTTCACAGGACAATTTTTATCAAATAAATTCATAATGAAACAAAATACTGTACAGAATGGCATTTTAAGTGTTGCATTCTTACGATGAACTGTGGCCAAAATTTTATACAGGAATTAAAGCCATGGAAACACACAGTTGGAGGAAGGAGGATAAATTCTTTTTTTTAAAATGTGAACCTATCCTATGACTGTTGGCTCTTTTACTGCTTCTTCTGTGCGTTGTTAGTTAAATAATATTTCTTCAGTTTTTCCTTCTAGGAACCTAGAGATAAGAAGACTCTTTTGACATTGAAAAAAGAGGCAATAAAATATTCAATAAAAAATGTTCTAAGTCAAAGGTTTTGGAAAATCAGAATGGAGTAGTGAGACTTCTTTGAGTTGAGTGGTCATGGAATACCTTCAGCTCTCCTTGAAGGAGGAACTTTCAAAGTGGTGGCAACTGACTCCAATGGCATTAGAAGAATGAAGACTACAGTATGGAGAATTAAGAAACAGAGATTAAGATATGGAGGATTAAGAAACAGAGAAAATACTTGACACTAGTTCATAAGCATTGACCTATTCATGAGTTATGGAATTGAGAGATGGAGTAGCTTTAGTAGCAAGAGGAAATACTAGCTGACATTTTGTGGCAAAAAGTTAATTTGATAAATAATTTTGACACTGACTTACAAAGGATAGTGCAATCATTCTATTTTTTCAATTCAATTGTTTTATTTTATTTTATTTTTTTAAGAATTTTAAAGTTTTTCCAATTACATTCTATTTCATATCTGTGATGGGATTGTATTTTTAATATTTTATATATTAAGATAGCTTTTCTTTTTGCTATCATTAACAATATACACTATGGAGTATTATCGCTCCATCAGAAAGGATGAATACCCAACTTTTGTAGCAACCTGGACGGGACTGGAAGAGATTATGCTGAGTGAAATAAGTCAAGCAGAGAGAGTCAATTATCATATGGTTTCACTTATTTGTGGAGCATAACAAATAGCATGGAGGACAAGGGGAGATGGAGAGGAGAAGGTAGTTGGGGGAAATTGGAAGGGGAGGTGAACAATGAGAGACTATGGACTCTGAAAAACAATCTGAAGGGTTTGAAGAGGTGAGGGGGTGGGAGGTTGGGGGAACCAGGTGGTGGGTATTAGAGAGGGCACGGATTGCATGGAGCACTGGGTGTGGTGCAAAAACAATGAATACTGTTATGCTGAAAATAAATTTAAAAAAGTGATTAAAAAAAACCCCCACATACTCAAACATAGTGCTTTAAGTTTTCCATATAAACAATTTTTAAAATTATTGCAAACACAGGACAGTTTATTTGTTATAATTTAATTCTCAAAGAAAGAAATTCAAGTTTGCATTTATTAAAATATTGTCACAGCTTTTATTTTTCGGACAATCTCTCCTTTAATATATATTATATTTCTGTATTTAGCTCGTTATTTATATTCTGGTGTTATTGGTAAAGTAGTTCCTTTAGTTTTCAAAGTTCCTTGGTTGAGCTTTTCAGTATTAGTTTGTTGCATAAAAAAACTGGGTTTAGAGTATTCTGAATCCTTGTAAAGTGTAATATTTATAAAAAATCCTACTAATGCATGAATTATGTAAGCAAGGGGTTTAATACTTAAATGTGATATCAACAGACCTTCACTAAAGGAGATTTTGGACAAGCACTTTCTGATATTCAAAGGTTAAAATATTCATAGCCTTTGTCCACATTTATGATGAAAAGGGAATTCTGTCTACAGAAGTTTTGTCATGACTAGTGACATTAATGGTGAGTTCATTAGAAATTCCAACTGCATCATTTGGATGAGCATTGAGCAGAGAAAGTAAAGTGCTAAGGTGGAATTCTAGGACAATTGTACTAGAAAATTACAGCTTATTTGAAAGGAAAGTCATTTAGGTGACAAAGAGAACTCTGGAAATAGGGTGAATATTTTTAAATCAACCCTATTGTTCATACCATCTTTTGCTCCAAATGAGTCAATCCTATTAAATGCTAAAAATATACACATTACATTGCAATCATACCCACTTTATATCTACTAAATTATACAATAAAAGTAATATTTACCACTCATAACATTCTTGTACATTTATAAAATAGTAAAACGTGTTTCTATAATAAAAGCATTATCATAGGGTTAGGTTTTCTTGTTTTTTTTTTATACAATCTCTGTAGCAAGGTCAAAATTAAGATTTTAATAATATTTTTCATCAAGTAGCAGTGTGCTGTCACGGAATATTAAGAAAATATTTGCCTCATTGAACTTATTGAAAGACAGGATAGAAGGTTAGTATAATAATCCTCATTATATAGATCTTATTAATTAAAGATCCAATTCACTTTTCACCATTTTTATGCTCATTCCTGTGTGTCCTATAGTTTTATGCAATTTATACCTTGCAAAGATTCAGATATCTGCCACCACAATCAGATACAGAATTGTTCCATCCCCACAAAGGAACTCTTTCATATTAATCTCTATATTTATACACTCTTTTCCATATTCTGTATCCTGGGGCAAACACCAATCTGTTCTTCATTTCTATGTTTTTGTCATGTGTCAAGTGCTATAAACAAAATTAGACAGTTTTTCAATTTTTTTTATATTGATGTTTAATTTTCTCTAAGTGTAGTGTCTTTGGGATCCATCCTGTTTATTGTAGGTATCAAAACTCAGTTCCTTTTATTGGTGAGTAATATTTGGTTGTATGAATGTAGCAGTTTGTTTATCCTTCACCCCCTGACAGGCATTTGGGTTGCTTTCAGTATTTCACAATAAATAAAACTGTTATCAGTTTTGTGTAGGTATTTTATGAACATAAGTTTTTATTTATCTGGTACACACTGTTGAGTTTTAAGAGTACCTTTTACAGTCTAGATAAAGTATTTTGTCTGGTAAGTGGTTTGCAAATATTTCCTCTCAGTCTTAGCTTGTCTTTCCATTCTCTGAATAAGATTTATGGTTGTCTTTTTTTTTTCTTTTCTTTTCTTTTCTTTTTTTTTTATGCAAAAAGTTTTCAAGTTTAGTGCAGTGTAAATTGCCAGTGTTTTAAGGATTTTGTCTTTGCTGCCATATGTAAAAACCCTTTGATTTGTTCTAGATTTGGGAGTTTTCTTCTATGTTTTCTTCTAATAGTTTAATAGTTTTTTATGTTTTACATTTTAATCAGAGTCTATTTTTATTGTAAAGAAATACCTAATTTTATCACCAAGCTTAGTATTTTCTTTCAATTTGTTTCCTGTGTTCTGCAATTCTTCTGTTCTGTTTTTATTTTTTTCCCCATTTGGAATTAGTTGTCATGTTTTATTTTCTATTAGCCTCTTGGTTATTTTGGCTATATATTCTTTTTTTTACCAACTGCCCTGATTACCCAAGAGATTATAATATGCATCTTTAAAATATTGAACACTAATAAAAATTGTTTAATTTAGGTTTACTGATGTGAAAATACTTCATAGACAATTGAATGACTTTATGATATTTAATCTCTTTCTGACTAACCTTCTATTGTGGTATATTTTAGTTTTCTAGGTACTGTTAAATAAAAATCCACTACTATAAATTTATATATCAATAGTTATTTAGATTTATAATTTTTACTTTAACTTATTCTTTCTAATGCTGAGTTTATATCAGTGAGCATTATCATTCTTTTTTTTTAATGTTTTATTTATTTATTTGACAGACAGAGATTACAAGTAGACAGAGAGGCAGACAGAGAGAGAGAGGGAGGGGGAAGCAGGCTCTCCGCTAAGCAGAGAGCCCGATGCGGGACTGGATCCCAGAATGCTGAGCAGAAGGCAGAGGCTTTAACCCCCTGAGCCACCCAGGCGCCCGGAGCATTATCATTCTTCGTGGAGAACAACTTTAGTGATTTATTCTAGTTCTGCTGTTAATGAATTTTCTCAACTCAGTTTATCCTATAATGTATTTATTTAACTATTTGGGGAGAATATTTTTGTGGAAAAAATAATTCCATATAGGCAGTTATGTTTGTCTTCACTTTACAAAATTTCATTATTTTGATTTTTGACTCCCAAGTTCCTGTTGAAAAGTCCACTATGCTCTTTTGAAATAATGTGTCTTTTCCCTGGTTCAAATTAAATTTGTCTCTTGTTTGACACTGTTTGACTATGATGCATGCAGTTACAATTATGTTTCTATTTATCCTGCTTTGGGTTTATAGTGTTATCTGAGTCTGATGTTTGGTATAAATATTTAATTTGAAAAATTATCATAATCACTTTAGCATCTGGTTTTCCACTGTTCTCTTTGTATTCTCCTCCTGTGATTCATATTTCAATTCCATATTTTTCTTATTGAAGGTCTCAAGTATCTGCTGAAATACTCAAACTTTTTTTTTATTTTTTTGAATATATAAAATATAATTTTTAAATGTGTCTCATAATTCTACTATGTAGATCTTCGGTTTATCTCTTTTGAATATCTCCTGTTTCTTTTGGATATGATTACAGTATCTTTACTCCTGTTATACATTTATATTTCTGACCTAGTGTAGGAAAATATATATGAACAACTTGGTGTCTTTTTTTTTTTTTTAAGATTTTATTTATTTGATAGAGAGAGAGAGTATAAGCAGGGGGAGTGGCAGGCAGAGGGAAAGGGAGAAGCAGGCTCCCCTCAGAAAAAGGGGACCCCTATGTAGGACTTGATCCCAGAACCCTGAGATCATGACCTGAGCCCAAGGCAGTTGCTTAACCAACTGAGCCATCCAGGTACCCATGAACAACTTGTAAAGGCAACTTGAGGCCTAGAATCATGTTACTCTGCTATCAAACTGATTTATCATCCTGCAGATAGACTAATGGCATTTGGTCTAGGTTGTCTTAATCCAGTTGATGGCTGAAATGATTTCAGTACCTGTAAAGACAGATCTCCTTCTGCTTCATCATGGCTCTAGGTCTTAACCCAAATCCTGGTGATTTTATAAGGCCATTTCTGTCTTTAAAAGATGCCAACCAACAATTTTTGTCCCTCCCTTCTCAGGAACCCTCTAAAGATTTAGTCTTTTTAGGTTGCTATCAGACTTCAAATCCTAGAGTCAATCACTATTCTTGAGTCCTGTTTAAAAAATCCTGACCTTCTAATTCTCAATGACTCAGTAGCTCTTTGAACCCTGAAAAACATATTGATCAAGTTTTCATGCTGATCTCACTACAATGGTTTGAATAACTTAGAATAAAATTCTTCATTACATGTTATGAATATAATGGTTGAATTAAAACAAAACAAAACAAAAACAAAACAAAAACTTCTTTTAATATTATATTAACTTCAATGATTTTCATTCAGTACAAAGTGGTATCACTGTTGAGAAATTCTCTTATAATTTAAATAGCTTTCCCATCATTAGAAGATTAAGGATGGCACCACTTTCTTTTGTCAGTAATTTTCAACAACTGTGAAATAGACAATTTATTTTGTTTTCAACTGTCAATTGTAATTTTAAAACAGAAGTAAAGCCAACACCATCCCAATAATAATAACACTAAGAAGTTTTCTTTTTTTCGAGAGGATGAAATGCATTAAGCCCAGTCTAAGCACAAAGATTCTAATCAGTTCTCAACAATTGCAGCTGTGTGTTTCAAATTACATTTCTAAAACATCTTATTGTCTTCTTCCTTTTTCGATTTAGACATCCCAAGTTGAATATTCCACTGAAGTTCCAAAAAAAAATCTCAGTTACCTAGGATGCCTTGTATCCTATGCCTTCTATCAGTTTAAATTTTACATTTAAAGCAGCACATTAGCTTAGTACAGTGATCATTCTATAAAGGCAAAGCATGAAAATAATTTCATATTAGACATAAATTGGAATTTAAAAGTAGTATAATATATATAATTATAATTTATTTATGGTATAGCTATGTTATATATATACATATAAATGTACATTACATATAAATTATAACTGTGATTATATATTACATAATATGGATGTTATATATATTTATCTTCAAGGTAAGAAGAAAGTATATATGCTTATTTTGAATATATAACTTCCAACAAACTTTTGGTTTATAATGGACTTCCTAGTCTTTGTAAATTCATCTGATATCCTAGGGCTTATAACTGGCATATTTGTTTATTTGGCTTTGGTTTTGGATTTGTTTCTTTTTAGTAGGAGAAGAATTTTTTTTTCAGAAATATGTCTTATTAATATTTGTCTATCTGGTCCTTGTTTTTTACTTACTTTAAAGCTATTTTCTGATTATTTTCTAAGTTTAATAAAACATTCCTTTCCCCTTTTTTTTCCTATTTGCACCCAAATGGACCTTTTTTTGAAAGATGCATTGTCCAAATGTTATTTCTTATCATTCTCTACTGCTTTCAGGTCAGGATATAGCCTTCGTACTTTAGTACTGTTTTAACCTCCATGTTTCAGCATGAATAATATTTATGATAAAATATTGGGCCTCCCTGAACATATTACTGTAAGCCAGCAGGTTCTCCTGATTTATTTTTAGGGTATGATGGAGATAAGACTGTAGTTTAATTTCCTGATCCAAAGAAACTTCATATTTGTGATAGCATTTTTATTAACTTAATAAAGGATGACATGTGGTCAAGGTTAACTATTTTTCATAACATTTTTCATTACTGATATATTACTAGAGGATTTGCTCAAAATTAACTTGACTAGATCAGATGGCATTGAAATAAGTATTTTAAGCTTTTTGTTGTAATAAAATAATTACTCTAATTCAGGAGTATTAACTGAACTCTATTATCAGACATGCACAAGTGGTAAATACTTTTCTTTACCTCTGAATAGTGAGGCATGTTGTATGCCATAAATTAATATAGTTTAACAGTAAAAAAGTTGCTTTACACTGACTTAATCAGATGTTGCATATTTACCCTCATATAAAAGTCTTCCATGGCTAACGGGATAGAAAAAGTATACCTTAAGAAACCTTCATATAAAAATGTTTATACTTGTGTGTATACATACACACAGACATAATTATATATATATATCTTATATATATAAAACATGCATATATATCATGTATTCTAACCATAGTTATACAAAGTTCTCATGAGAAATAACATAATTTCTAATCAACATGCACACCATAAAAATGTTTATACTTGTGTGTATACATACACACAGGCATAATTATATATATATATAAAAACATGCATATATATCATGTATTCTAACCATGTAGTTACACAAAGTTCTCATGAGAAATAACATAATTTCTAATCAACATGCACACCTGGATATTTGAGTAAAACATGTGCAGCTTTAAGTTTTTCTTTCTTAGAAAATGATGAAAATTGGCAAAGACAAAGCAAAGCAGTAATGGCAATTGAATTTATCATTGTCATGTCTGAATTCTTCCTCTTTGAACACTCAGAGATAAATTACTTTCTTTTTTCTGTGTCAATTCCAGAGTGACTTTAACCTGGTTTTAGCATCAAAAGAAAACTAATAATGGACCATCATAGATTTAGAAAACTATCAGAAAGCCAGTTAGCCAGCAAATCTTTATACAAACAACCTTGTTTCCAATTATCTTTCCAAATCTTAATGATTATCTCTCTATAGATCAGATATCTCTCTCCATATATAAGGTTGACTCAGCTCCAGAATTCAGAAGGCAATCCTTTTAACTATCTACTCAGACTCATTAGAATTAAAGTCTAAAATTTCCAGAAGAGAGAATTAATTTTTTTCAATTTGAATCGATATCAAATCAATTAAATTCAAGACAACCCAGCTGTGTAAATTGGAAAAGAAAAAAAAAAGTCACTGAGGCTAATTCCATTCAGTGATAAGAACAGTTCACATTGAAGATGGAGTGTAAATGGGTCTGGGGAGACACAGAGAAATATGTTTACAATAGTTTGGTTGGTTAAATGAAAACCACTGTGTACAAATTATGAATAAATAATTACATTAGTTTCAATATTTGTTTTTATTTTAAATTCACCACTTATAATTGTCCTTTCCTTAAGTCTTGGCTAGTTATTGCAAGGAAGACTTCTTGTGAATTATATTAGCACCTAGTATAATTCATTTTAAAGAACAGATAATGCTATGTGTCCCTTTTACAAGTTCATTCAGTAGGCTAAGTCTGTAGATATGCTTATTGTGTTTTTATGTAAATCTTAATAATATCTACAAAAATTTATTTTTTTTAATTTAAATCAGCTTCTTATTTTCAGGTATTTTTGGCTGAATACACAGGACCTCTGCTGATATATCTCCTCTTTTATTTGAGGATCCCATACATATATGACATGAAAGAGAGCTCCAGAAGATTACGCCATCCAGTGGTACAGTAAGTAATATATATAGTACCTCTAGATAAATTAGTACCCAGATAAAATTTTAAAGTTTGTTTATAAACCAAATTAAAGTGGGTTATATTTAAGAAAATATATTTTAAGTAACTTTAAAAAATGTATACACATGAGTTTGCAAATTTATAAACAAGGAACTAGTAAGTATACCTTAAAGCATAGATAATGTTAGTTCATAATGATCACAGTGAAAGAAATCTAGATATTTAGAAATATCACAAGAAACTTAAAGTTATAAAGTTGTGAGGTCATATATAAAGGGCTTAAGATATAAAACTAAATAAAATAATAAAATATGTACTTCTCATGGGCAACATTTATAGGAAAGAAACAATGACCTAAAAAACAGGAAAAAACAAAAGGGTTTTATAAGTTACCTTTAGTAAGTCAAAATTCAAAATAAATTTTACTTTAAAGTAAAAAGTAAAAGTAAAGTACAGAAAAAGGTGAGGGTGATTATCAAAGCAGAATATATAACATACTGTGAGAATAATCTCTCTGTGTCTCTCTCTCCCTCCACCTACAAAATTGAAAAGTAAGAGAATAATTATTATTCAAGACACTACACTGAGATGTGGTGTTAGCAATTTGTTAAAAAGATAAAAAAGAACCTGATTTAATGACTAAACGCTAAGTGAATTAAGAAACAAAATTTATGTCATAAGGATACTAAAAGATAGAGAGTGATTAGACTCCTAACTTTCTCATATCATATAGAGCTTTCCTTTACACTTAATTTCTGTACCACAGCGGCACTTTCTTGTCTCTGATACCTACCATGTTCCCTTTCATGCAAAGACATTTACACATGTTATCCCTCATCCTCCATCCCAGTAACCTCTTTCTTATCTCTTACATAAACTTGAAATAAAAGTTCAGTATTTCTTACTCATGATAGCTATTCCTATTCTTCCCAATGCAAATATGCCACTGAAATGTTCTTCCTTTCTATAATTTATTACTTTAAAATTATATGTTCACATAATCACTTGTTTGTATTTTCCCTCTATAAAGTTCTAAAATGGACGTACTTTGATGTCCATTTTATTTTCACTGCTTAACATTACCTGATTTACAGGAAATACTCAATAAAAATGTTTTGAATGATTAGATAGATGAACCAATTACAAACATATTTATTTCACATTGAGAAATTCTAGGTTATAAAAGAGAGGTGTTTGACCTGGGTGGGAGTTCTGAGGTGGCTTTTCTAAGAAAGTGGCATTTGAATCATTTCTTTGTTTTCTGGAGCAATGAATCAGATTTTAAATAGGAAATTTCATGTGGACATGATTTATGGTACAAAGAAATTTGGTGCTTTGTAGGAGCAAAAAGAAATCTAGTATGGCAGAAGCAAAGAGAGACCGGGGAAATTGGTTCTTAGGGATGATGGCCAAGTTGTTCAGGGCCTAGTAGAATATTACCAGTTTTCTCTCTAGTGAAGGGAATAAGGGAATGACCAATTTGTTTAGAAAGTCTGGGGTGGAAAGTTCAATATAAAGACAATATAAAGGCAGTATAAATGTACTCCTATTTTAGATCAACATATTATATCTACTAGATATATAACACATCAAAAAAAAAAAAAAAAAGACCACTTTTTTTCCTAGTGGCATTCTAAGGGAATTGACTGACAATTGGTTACTATTCTTAAACACAAACACAGAATGTTTTATAACATCTCAGTGACAAAAATTTGCACTATGTTGTTCCAAAATAGCAAATATGTTAAGTTTGTAGGAAATCATTTCAGAGCAGATACACACAAACACACAAACTACTTGTGAAATTTAAGTGTCTAGCAGAGATTTATAAAATAATCACATAGTTTCTGAGGCAACCCAACTTTAGGATGAGTGACTACTATTTCTCAAAGTTAAGAAGATCAAATTTCAAATGCTGTGTCCATTTGCTCCCACTCTGTTAATTCTCCAAAATGGCTTTGAGTCATTTCACAGAGTTCAAAATTATTTTTCTGCTAGCTTAGATCTATATGTGACTCAACTACCACAAAATTCTTTGGATCTCTTAGAAATTTTTGCACACTGGAACTAAGGCAGTATCTCCTATATTACTCCCATCCCCATCAAGTAATGAAAAGGGGATGCACAGTTTGGTGAAACGGATCCAGTTAAACTTGTTTGAACTTTGTTCAATCAACAGTAGTTAAGATAGAGGACACATACTTGAAATTGTCAAGGTTTTTTCTGCCGTAGAGATCAAATGAACTGCTTGCACTGAGGCTGAGACCACACCTCCCTAAGGACTTCTAACTGCATCATCAGGGATGGAAGAGCAGTCCTAGAAACATTTCCTACACATAGGACACACACAGTTGGACCATCTGCCTTGAATGCAAGAAGATATGTCTATTTGGTCACTTAAATCCCTGCTTAGGACCCCCACATTATTAACCTCATACTTTAAAGCCATCCCTCTTCTCTCATACATCTTGATAAACCCCACAGTTCTCTGTGCTGCTTTCACTGAGTCCTTCCCAATTCCTGGAATTCTTCTACCTCTGCAATTCAAAGTCTGTTAATAGCAAAATCTCTTATGTCTTCAGCATTTTATTTGAACGTTGTCTTCATATTCTTCCACAACAGAAACCTAGCATAGTTCTATAAAACTGAGACAGTGTTTTTTTTCTTTTCTTTTCTTTTTTTTTCTTTTTTTTTTTTTTTTTTTTTTTTTTTTTTTTTCTTTTCTTTTCTTTTTTCTTTTCTTTTCTTTTCTTTTTTCTTTTTTCTTTTCTTTTCCTTTCTTTTCTTTTCTCTCTCTCTTTTTTTTTTCTTTTCTGTTCTTTTCTTTTTTCTTTTCTCTTCTTTTCAAGATTTTATTTATTTGAGAGAACCAATGAGCTGGAGAGGAGGAGGGACCAGAGGAAAAGGGAGAAGCAGACTCTCTGTTGAGCAGGGAGCCCCCTGGGCTCAATCCCAGAACTCTGAGACCATGAACTGAGTGGGAGGCAATTGCTTAATCAACAGCCACCCAGTGACCACGAGACTGTGTTTCCTTTCACAGTACTCCTATCTTGAAACATATGTGATAAAGTTTTTTTGAAAATTATGATTAGGAAAAAGAACTGGACCCAAACCTATTCATGGATATTCACTTAGTTTAGCACTGCACAGAAAAAGAGTGGATATTTGAAGGGAAGTCAACCATAATTAAATGGAAATATTTGGAATGAAATCAAACATGGTGAGTTACCAACACTGTGCAAAGTAACATATCATATGGTTTCACTTATTTGTGGAGCATAAGAAATAGCATGGAGGACATGGGGAGATGGAGAGGAGAAGGGAGCTGGGGAAAATGGAGGGGGTGACAAACCATGAGAGTAACATGCATCGAAAGAGTAAGATACAGCTGTATGTACTATGCCAGTATAACATCAGAAAACTAAGTGAACTAATTTAATCATAGCATGAACTAAATTTCTCGTTTAGTGCTCTGCTAAATAGCTGGACATAACCTCACTTTATGCTTTCTTAGAAAGAGGAAAACTTTATCATTCAAGTATATACTCCTATGAAGAACAAAAAAGGTAGGAGAGATACTGATTCCCTTGTCAATCCTTTGAACCTACAATTCTTAAACCTTCTTCTAAATAACAACCTTTCCTTTTTCTTGTCTTATTGTCTAGAAAGCTCTGCCCCTGGATATCTACACTTTGTTCTTTGATTTCTCACAGAATTTGTCTATTATTTAGAGAAATACACACATAGAAAATGTCTCTCCCCTAATAGGTGCACACTTATTTTTTAATGAATTAGTGAGTAGTAGTAAATTCACCGATGATTTAGGCAGGTTGGCTTATGTTTATCTATTTGTTTTCCCAAAAGTCACTATTATTATTAAACAAAAATCATTATTTCATTCTGTTAAAATAAAATCCCATGAAGACTCAATGTTTGTACATAGAGTAAATGATATGCTGATTTTTCTGTTCAGGCCTTATTGATTTAACTGTGCAATTTTTGATCCATATTGATTTTCTTGAATAGCAACCACACTTATTGAAATTTTATATTTTTATCAAAATCAATACAGATTCTAACAAACATATATTTTAAGCATAAGCCATAAAATATACTTCTGTAAATCATATCTGACATTTACTTTTAAAACAATTTATAGATGGCAACAAGAGCTTGTCAATTGGAAAGCAGAAACAAAATGAAACACACAAAGAGACCAAGAAAATACTACAATTTGTTAGGTAGGGAAAAAACAAACATAAAACAAACTAAAGGAAATAAAAGCTGCACTGACTCCATAAATAAATGAAATTCAAACCTTTCAATCTATGGTTCTTACTAAAGGACAACCAGACAATGAAAAATTATTCTGAATACTATAAAATGTCAAATGAATTCTAAGTAGATTTTGGATATTTTTAAAACTTGTACATCTTTCCCTCTGGCATCCGTTTGTTCCTTGATTTTGCTTTTTTGTGTGTTTATTCATTTTATTTTTTAGACTCCACATGAGTGAAATCATATGCTATCTGTCTTTCTCAATCTGACTTATTTCACTTAGCACATACCCTGTAGGTCCATCCATGTTGTCTTCAATGGCAGAGGGGAGAAGATTGAGGAATCAGGAAAAATGGGTAAAGGGGAATGGGAGATACAGGCTTCCAACTACAGAATAAATACATTACGGGAGTGAAAGACACGGTATACAGAATATAGTCAATGATATTATAATAACATTGTGTGATGATAGATGACAGGTACAGTTGTGGGGATCATAGCAAAATATAAAACTTCTTAAATCACCATGTTATACATACAAAATATAAAACTTCTTAAATCACCATGTTATACATATAAAACTTCTTAAATCACCATGCTATACAATATCACTTTGTGTCAGCTTTAGATAAAAAACCTTGTACGTTCTCTGCTTCATTCATGAGGCATTTTGTTATGAGTACATTTATAATCATTATATATTGCTGGAGTAGGTGTGAGCATACAGATTATGACTGGTATTATAAAATATTTTGAGCATCATCAGAAGTAAATTTATAGAAACTATTGTGATAATACTGCTGTGAAATAAATTTAGAAAATTTCTAGAATAAATGTATTAAAATAAGCATTCATGTTTTGATTATTGGAAACATTTCTTAATAAATATATAACATTTTAGTAAACTAACAAAAAATGTCTTATGTCTAAGGCAAGCCAGACCTTTGGAAGAGAACTTACTATGTTCATGTTTTATTTTCTTTCTAGCTTGGCTTGCTTCTGTCATTGTATACACTATATCCGTTATCTTTTGGAAACCTTATTTGTCCATAAAGTTTCTGCAGGACATACGCCTTTGAAAAATTTGATAAAGGTGGGACTGATATGTTTTATAATTTTAATTATTATTGGGAAATTTTGTGTATTGGGTCATCCGTAAAATGGTACAATCATATTTATTTTCCTCATGCTTAGATTTTTCTGTTCAACTGTGTCATCATATCTTAAACATCTGCTCCTGAAATGCCACTTCCTGAGTGACCTATTTCACTGGAGCAGTGTTCAATCAATAACTCTGCATAAAAGATTTGCCATGTCTTTTTGTTATAAGCTATGCATGCTCAGGCACCCTTAATTTTGGAAATACTTAGCACTGAATTCAGATTCTTTACATGCTGCTTGAGGACGAGGGATGTCATACATCAAAATTCCTATAAAAATACATCTGTGTGATAACACTGATGAAACAACACCGTGTATTTATGACAGCTGTCAGTGAAATGACAGTGTCTTTGTTCTTCCAAAAATGGTGAATTCAGGAGTTAATAACCATCCCATCAAATAGCTGTCAAGAAAATGGGAAGTTTTATGAAATATTGAAGTGGAAATATACATTGGATGACATGCTGCCATTCAATTTTCCAATTCTATTTCCAATTTATTTTAATTTCCAATTTAATTTCCAATTTACTCTCCATAGGAAATATTTCCTTATTAAAAATTTCCTGTCTTTTTTGGCAAATACCTGTTTCTTTCTATTGTTTTTCTATTGTTGTCATGGTAATGAAAAACTCAAAAATTCTTAGAAACCTCAAAAATCATTTAGACTAGCTTCTATTCTGGCACAAGATATTAAAATTTATCATATCAGTACAAGATCAGTTTTATAGTCTAGGATTTTTGGAACTAGGAAGTTTCCCTTTACAGTCTGTCAAGATATGTTTTACTAATGATTAAATAATTCATTATTTTATTCACTTACTGTTGGAAAATGAATATTAGTATATTTTATATAATACATTATTTATTATTTTATTACTTCATCCATATTTATTGCTTTATAGTCAAAGACCATTGAAAAATATTTCTAAAATATATTGTTACATTTGCCTTATATCCTAAGTACCCATTTATATTAATAAGGGTTGAGCAAAGTAATCCCTTTCCTTAGTGATATCAAATAGGTACTTGTAAAATGCTACTTTATTGGATGAGGAGGCATTTCATTTATCTTGCTTAGAGCATACCATTTTTCATACCAAAAAAAAAGCTTCAGTGTGTCATGTAGGTATATGGGATGATTTCAAATGATATGATAGATTATATATGTTCGCTAACTTTTATTATGTTTTATTTGTAGGGCTGTGCCTTTTATTGGGGATTTACTTCTTGGATTGCCTACTACATTAATCACCCACAGTATACACCACCGTGTATGTAGGATTTCTTTCTAATGAAACAATACTGATTTGACAACATCAAAACTCTCTTCTAAACTACACAGAAATGATGAACAACCTGGCAAACTTAAAAAAAGAAGCAAATAATGAAAAAAATGTCAATTTTAAATAGTTTTCATATTACACTCCGTTACATTTTTATGTAGACTTAAAAGACCAAATTTGACTGACATGGTTTGATTTATTTTCTCTCCGTAGGAACTCAAGCAAAAATATGAGTTGATTATAAACCTAAAATGACAGATAGCAAAATGAAAGAATGAAAATTAAGAAGAAAAATTCCATATAATCACATAATCACATAAACTCACCTATCAGGTTTTTGAAAATAGACAATAAATATGGAATTATTATATTAAATGTTATTCAATAAGAAAAAAATAGAAGCAATCTGTTTCTGTAACATAAAGTTTATAACTTTATTAAATGTCTTGACCATTGACTCAGATGAAGCACTTTGGAGGAAAACACAATGCACCAAACCTAAATCCTCAGTCCTTAAACGTGGATAGCTGTCCTCATCAAAGAATTCCATTTCTTTTATTTGCTGTGCACTTTTCTTTCTTCAGTTTTTACTGCAGCCCTCGGCACACAACAGGGCTCTAGTGCTATAGGGTTGAGGTTTCACAGGTAACTGACAATTATTTTTTCTGGTCTATTTCTGATGTTTATGAAATTTGAAATGGAAATAAAAGGAATAGTCAGGGTTTATTTTAGATTTGATAAAATAAGTTAAACCATCTTAATATCTGTGCTTGAAGTACCAACAATAGAATCTTTACTAAGATCAGCAAATCTAGTCGAGCATGCTAAAAGTAAATCATTGCGATGTTCAAAACTTAAATTCTTCTAACTACTAACAACTATGAATACTGAAGGGGAAAATTTCTTAATATTATATAGTTTCTAAAAATATTTTATCAGAGATGTACCTACTAAATTTAGAACATTACAGACAGATATTTTTGCTCCATAGAATGTTTAAGTGGAGCCTCTGAAAAATGCTACTACTTTCACATATCTTTTTCTTTTTTAATATTTTATTTGTTCATTTGTCAGAGAGAGAGAGAATGAGCACAAGCAGGGGAGCAGCAGGCAGAGGGAGAAAAAGAAGCAGGATCCCCGCTGAACAAGGAGCCCAATGCGGGACTCAGTGCCAAGACCCTGGGAGCAGGATCTGAACCAAAGGCAGATGCTTAACCGACTGAGACACCCAGGCATCCCAGCATTCACATATGTGATGCAAAATAATAGAAGCTGATTGTTGTTAACGTATGCAAAATATTTACTGAAAACTTAATGTTTGTCAATAGTTGTAAAAATTTCTATTTCTTTTATCATAAGAAATATTATTATGTAAGTGTTAATATTCTCTATTACGATTAGGAAAATGAGGACTTGAAAGTCTAATTTTATTTTTCTCAAGACTCTTAAACGCATAAAATGTAAACAGGCCCCAAATTCTGTGAAGACATATGTAACATTACAATACTGATTCCAACTGGAAAGTGAATAAATACCATGTATAGTCCTATTCTCAACAGATTTGACTGCATAAAAATAATAACATCTGTACCTTTACACACCTTAACTTGAATAAAAAACAACGTATTATGTACTTCCACTACATATACCATTAAGGAAGTCATTTTTCATACTTCTTGAAAATATTTTAAAGTAAATAAGAAACAAATTATCATAATTGAAAACTTCCTAATGGCAGGAATATTCCATTAACTGCAAACTGGTATGCATATGTTCAGGAAACTTAATACATAAATGTTAGTATCAGCAGCAATCAAAGAAAAACAGCCTGTTTTTTTTCTTGCAAAATGTAAAATATTATAAAAATTATAAAAAAAAATTACAGAAAGTTTTGGGACACCTGGGTGGCTCAGTTGCTTGAGCCTCTGCCTTCTGCTCAGAGTCCTGGGATGTAGTCCAGCTCTGCTTCCTTTCTCAGCTGGGACCCTGCTTCTCTCTCTGCCAGCCCCTACCCCCGCTTGTGCTCATTCTCTCTTTCTCCCTATCTCTGACAAATAAATAAATGAAATCTTTTAAAAAAATTACAGAAATTTTTAATGATGGCTAAATTTTTTTCTAGAAAATTTGTTTCAGATTACACGCTCTGTAACTTTGCTTTTTGGAAATAAAAAACTAAAAATATTTAAAATTATACTTTTTGTTCCTGTACCTGTTTTTATCACATCATTATTTATTCTCATTAAAAAATGAAAATAAGGTATGTCTTTACTGTCCTGCTACGTGAAATGTTCTGAACTTCTAAACCAGAGTTCATCCTTGTACTTGAGAGCATTCCTTGATCTCCCTGATTAAATCAGTCATTTTAGCTCTCACATTAAATCCTATATAGATCTTTCTTAGTAACACTTATCAGGGTTGCAAATTTCCCTTAGTTATCTTGTGATTATTATTTGCTTCCTTGTCAGACAGTAATTTTTATTAAGATAAGAGTTGCTTTTGGCTTAGTTTATAATTGATTTTATCACAAGCACACAGTATAGTGCCTGTCCTTTTCCTAATAAGTATTATTGAATGAATGGTCTAGTCTAGAAATAAGCACAAATAAAAAAAAACTATATATATATATATGTGTGTATATATATACATATATATATATATACACACATATATATATATTTTATTTAGCTGGAGAAGAGTGTTTAATTACATGGTAAATGTTGCTTAGTTGTATGGAAAATATAATATTGAGGAATAAAGGATTATAAAAGTGTTCAACACTTTTATGTACATAACAAATATGTATATTCCCAGGGGAAAATCTGAATTTTAACTGATTTACCATGGATAATGGGATTTTAATGTATTTTATTTCCATTTACATTTTTATCTATTTTCCAAATTTTTTCCATTAATGTATCAATGTATTTTATTTCATAGTTAGATATATACACTTTGTAAAAACAAAACTTCCAATACTTCCACATATTTAAATATGTGAATATGCATATATATATACACACATACATATATGCTATGTGTGTATATATATGCATATATATACTATATATGTATGTGTGTATATATCTATATATCTATACATAGATACATATATATATAGCATACGTACAACATATATAACATATATCCGTACATAGATACTTATATAAATTTTTACTAAATTATCCTTTAAGTTTCTAGCCCATGGAACTGGAACTTCCATAAAAGACTTATAAAGAAAGATGTTTGGGGGCTCCTGGGTGGCTCAGTGGGTTAAAGCCTCTGCCTTCAGCTCAGGTCATGATCCCAGGGTCCTGGGATCAAGCCCCACATCGGGCTCTCTGCTCGGCAGGGAGCCTGCTTCCTCCTCTCTCTCTCTGCCTGCCTCTCTGCCTACTTGTGATCTCTGTCTGTCAAATAAATAAATAAAATCTTAAAAAAAAAAAAAAGATGTTTGAAGCAGTATTACTAGTCATATATAAAATTAAAGTAGCACTAATTATGCAGCAATTAGATAATATTTAATGTTTTTAAGCTTAGCTACATTATACATTATGATGCAGATGTTGTCATAGCTTTTATCATGAAAGTTTAATAATATTAGAAAAGCCTTTAAATATATTCTTATAAAATATGCAACATTTAAAATAAGACATTGCAATTTTGTAAATGTGTTTACATAAACGCAATTTATATGTACACACACGTGAAAGAAAAGGAAATGCAACTGTTAATACAGATCATGAGCTTATCAAAAAATTTATTTTTGGTACTTTTGTATATTCCACCTTCTCTGCCATGATAAAAGTAACTTTAGGACAATGTCTTAAATTCTATTTCACTCCTTATTCTATATTATTTGGGAATTTGCATAACCTGTATTTTTCTTTTAAGATGAGAACATTAATACTTGCCTCATTTATTTGTTTTTAGCAGAAAAATTTAAAAATACTTAAAATATTACCTATCATAAAATATCAATGCAAAAAATAAAAGTTGTTTTTATTAGCATATTTCTTTTGTTGTTAACCATTAAAAAACAAGAGCTATCATTGGGTGTCATCTTATATTATGCTATATTATGGGCTGTTAAGGTAACAAATGAAAGATTAAATCTGCCTTTAAAGAGTTTAATAAGAGAAATTAAAAATAGATTCCTGTTGTATTTCAAATATAATTAGGTGACTTAGAAAAAAAGTGTATGTTGAAAGCAAAAATATTTTTATCCCTTCAGATTGCATAAGTATTATCCCAAAGGGTTAATTACATACATCAGAGTACTTTGGATTAGAGGGTAGTAATACCCAATCAACATTGCTTTAGTTATGTTTACCGTGTGGCAATCCAAAATATGAATATTTGCATTACATCTTCTTTTCCTACTTTCTAGCGTTTGGAAACCGGCAAGTCGCAGTATCTGCTATCAATTTTTTGGTATGTATTACTTTTATTACTTGCTATTCATGCTCTAATTGTAGTGCTATTAAGAATGCAAAACAAATTATATTTGAGGATTTCACATGTAGAAAATACGATCTCTTTTTGTATTATATACTTAATGATATTAAGTGGAGTAAGTCAAATGATTACACTGAATCAAGCCATTAGCTCTCTAAATTATTTTTAGCTTTCTAAATCTCTTAATCAAAATGTTCTACTCATCTATGAAGGATGATTAGAATAATTGGGAATCTAATAGAATTTGAAAAAAATCCTACTTAGTAATTCTTCCTATTGTCTATACACTTACAAACCTCTAAGAGCAAAAGTATTACGAGCCTAACAGATGAACATCTAAAAAGCCCTTTGGCATAATGTTAATTTAACTTATTCTGAATGAAAACAGTCTGCTTTTTTGGATGAAATGTCTTTTCTAAGTGTTCTCAATCTAGTTATTTAGATCATTCTATTTAGCTTTACATATGCATTGTTTGAATTGGGAACATATCAATCTGAATACAACAGATTATTATTTCCAAAATGCATTATTTCATTAAACACAGATTTTCTTTCATACCCCATATAATTCAACCATATAACCCATGCTTCTATTCTTTATTTATGTTCTTCTTCATTCTTGTCCTTGATAGATTAACTCCCATGATTCCTGGTCCCTGATGTATTGATAAATTCCCTTGATTGATATATAAGTCTATATCCTTTGTGAAGCTGGTATTGCATAACTTATACCCCACCATTTCATACAAGGCACAGATCATACCACTTTTTTAAAAGTTCTCATGCTTACCTCTGTGTGTGTGTGTGTGTGTGTGTGTGTGTGTGTGTTTTAATTAATACTTTACTTAATAACATCCTCTTGATTTCAGCTCAGGTCATGATCTCAAATTAAAAAGCCCTGCTAGCCCTGAATTTCTTAATAATGTTCCATATGGGCAAAACACATTTAATTTTCACGAATAAATGTGATATTAAGATCTAAGTTTTAGGAAACTAATTCTAATACAGGATTTAAAAACAAACGAGTTGTTTGAGTTTGCACATATACCACCTAAATTGAAGATGCCTACTGTATCATTGTGAACATAACATTCTATATTTCAAGGTTATTTTTTTTTTCACTCACAATAACTGAATGCCTAAGTGTGTGCCTTTCACATTTATCATAAGAAATGCATATGCAAATGGTTTGGAAAGAAAAGCACCTATGTTTAAGTCAAGTGCTTTTAATATTATATTAGGATCATCAGCATATAAGATAATCATCATTATGTAGAAGGGAAAAAAGGAAATTCATAGGTCAATTTTGTATAATATAAAGTTTATAGAAATGATAATTTTTCTGCTAATGTTTGCACAACTTCCTGGACTTTGTTTTGTTGATATATGTATCCTCTTAGAATAAGAAAAAAAGAAAAAAAAAAAGAACTAGCATAAGAAGAAAAAGGAAAAAAAGTTGCTGGAGAACTAGATATATACAAAAAAAAAAAAAAAAAAAGAATCTAGACACAGACCTTATACCCTTCACAAAGATTAACTCAAAATGGATCACAGACCTAAGTACAAAATGCAAAGCCATAAAACTCTTAGATGATGATACAAGAGAAAACCTAGATGACTTTAGGTACCATAATGACTTTTAAGATAAAACACTAAAGAATGATCCGCAGAGATTATAATTGCTAAGTTGGACTTCATTCATCTTAAAAACTTCTGGTCTGTGAGGAATGATGTCAAGAGAATGAGAAAGAAAAGCATAGTCTAGGAAAATATTTGCCAAAGATACATCTGATAAAAGATCATTATCAGAAATATACAATGGGTTCTTAAAATGCAAGGATAAGAAACAAACAGCTAAATTAATAAATGGGCAAAAGACCTTAACTGACACCTTACCAGTAAAGATACACAGTTAGCAAATAAGCATGTGAAAAGATGCTTCAAATCGTATCCTATCAGGGAAATGCAAATTGAGATGAGATAGCACTATACACCTATTAAAATGGCCAAGAATCTGGAACACTGACAACACCAAATGAAGATAAGGATGTGGAACAGCAGCAGGAATTTTTATTCATTGCTGTGGGAATGCAAAATGAACTAGCCATTTTGGTAAACAGTTTGGCAGTTTCTTACAGACCTAAATACACTTTTACCATATTATCCAGCAATTGTGCTCCTGGGTATTTACCCAAAGGAATCATAAACTTATGTCTACACAGAGCCTTACAAATAGATGTTTTTACAACAGTTTTATTCATAATTGCCAAGACTTGGAAGCAACTAAGACGTGCCAAAGTAGGTGAATGGACTATGCTACATCCAGACTATGATACCTCCAGACAAAGAAATATTACTCAGTGCTAAAATGTAATGAGCCATCAAGCCATGAGAAAACACGAGGAAAGCTTGAAAGAATATTACTCAGTAAAATAAATTCTCTGAAAAGGCTAAATACAGTATGATTCCAACTATATGACATACCAAATTAAAAAAAAAAAAAAGAACTGTGGAAACAGTAACAAGATCAGTGGTTGGCAAGAGTTGTGGAGAAAGGAATGAAGAAAAGGTGTACAGAGGATTTTTAGGACAGTGAAAATACTCTGTGTGATACCATGATGATGGATATGTGCCATTGTGTATCTCTCCAAACCCAGAATGTACAACACAGGGGTGAACTCTAATGTAAACTGTGGACTTTGCATGATTATAATCTGTCAATGTAGGTTCATGAATTGTGACAAATGTACCACTCTGGTGGAGGACATGGATAATGGAAGAAGATATGCATGTTTAGGAGGAAGGGATATATGAGAAATCTTGGGACCATCCCTTTGATTTTGCTATAAACTGATCTAAAAAAAAAAAAGTCTTAATGAAAAAACTGTTGGTTAGTATATATATTTTCTGATAAACCCATAATTAACATAGTACATATTTATTCTGGAACACAATGCATGTTATCCCTTTTTTATTGAAATGTATATTTCCTAACTTAAAAAAGTAGAGATTAGGAATTAGAAAAATTTTTATAATGTTATCATAGTGATATGTTATCATTAGTCATAAAACTTCTGATGCAAAAACTGTGTAATATTGGCCTATATTACCAAATAGCATGTCTGTGCAAATGTGTTTTATCCTTTAGAGTAGAGACTAACTTCTCAAGATTATAATAGTTGAGGCATATCATGATGAAACTTTTCATAACTATAGAGTAATCCAAGATTTTCCTTACTCTTGAAATATTAAGATAAATAAGACATGACTTATAATAATTATTATCATTAGAAATAGAGGAAATTACAATAGGTGAAATTCAAAACAAACCTGATTATCAGAGAAACATTTTCTCAGATTCAATTTTTTAAATTATATTTATAAAATGGCTGTTACATTGCTCAAATTATAAACTTATATCTGCCAATAATTAATAATAATGATAACATATATAAATCTTTGGGGAGAGCAGATATATACAGAAATAATATAGATCATTTTCATTCCTATAAAAATGCTATTAGATCTCAGAATAAAGATTATTTATTTTTACTGCAGAAACCAAAGCAATTTTACTAAGACAAAATGACAGAGCCTATTTGATGGTTACAAATTTTGTATTAGTGTTTAGATTTCATCGTTATTATTTTTATTTTTTTAAGTTTAATTGTATTTTCTCAGTGTTCCAAGATTAATTGTTTATGCACTACACCCAGTGCTCCATGCAATATGTGCCCTCCTTAATACCCACCACCAGGCTTACCTAACCCCCGACTCCCCTCCCCTCCAAGGCCCTCAGTTTGTTTCTCAGAGTCCACAGTCTCTCAGGGTTTGTCTCCCCCTCCGATTTCCCCCAACTCACTTCTATCTCCCAATGTCCATTTTTTGACGTGATTATCTGTTTTTTTGTGTGTCGAGTTTGAGGTTATTATTATTATTTTTAATATTTCATTTATTTATTTAAAAGAAAGAGAGTGCAGGAGAGAGAGCACGGCAGGGGTAGGGGCAGAGGGAGATGTGGAGAGACAGACTCCCCACTGAGCAGGGAGCTGGATGCAGGACTTAGTCCCAGGATTCTTAGATCATGAACTGAGCCAAAAGTAAACCCTTAATGGAGCCACCCAGGGGCCCCTCAATTTTATTCTATAGACATATTGTTTTCACCGATATAGTAGAGAATATTCACCTGTTGAAGCTTGCAATAAAGAACATTTGAGAAATTATATAAAAGTGGATCTCTGCAAGTTGGGCTTCTTCTAACACATCTGTATGTTTTACTGTATAAGATAATTTAACATTTAAGTAAAGTAAAAATCAAACCTAATGATAGCAACTTCTTCAAACTTTATTTTTGAAATCATTGTGTTTATATATAATGTGCCAAATGAAGATATTTGATTTAGTGAAGAATTAGTCCAGGAGAAATGTGTAAGTCATGCTGGAAAATGTTCCAGTGTTTCACATTTAATGTGCTTCTGAAATTTTATTCAGTGATAGAACCATATATTGAGATTTAAAGCACTGACCAAATTTCCTAATCTTATTCCGCTCTGAGTCAAGAGGAAATTATATCAACCACTTTTATTCAGGTCAATTAAGCTATAGTGGACAAATTCATTCTTCAGAATTTTAAAGTCAGTGCTTAAGGTGAAAGTTGAAAATATTCACAATTGCTCTTTAAAATACATTACAGACTTGCTAAATTGATGATAAACTATTTCTAAACATATAGATATAGCTGATTTTTCCCTCTCTACCCCTAGAATGTATATAGATATGCATTTTATCTGTAGATAGCAGATGGAAAAGTTGGATTATTTACCACTTTTTTATCTCCTTCTTTTATATTTATTTAAGTGTGTTTTATGTTTTATTTGTGGTCCTATGGGGAAGAGGCACATACTAATAAATTATGACATTAGTATATGGCTAGTGGTCTAACTGAAACCTAAATGCTCATTTTTCCATGGCCTATACTTTGGGTAGAAGATTGATGGTTTGTATTTAGTGGTGTTGTGAAAAGTAGGAAAGAGAAAAAAATTTGGTGGTCGAGTGAGTTTAAAATATTGATTGATAAACATAAAATTAATATGTCTTATCAGAAGAAAAAACATAATTTTTAAAAGACTTTACTCGACAGACAGAGATCACAAGTAGGCAGAGAGGCAGGCAGAGAGAGAGAGAGAGGGGAAGCAGCCTCCCTGCTGAGCAGAGAGCCTGATGCAGGGCTAGATCCCAGGACCCTGGGATCATGACCTGAGCCAAAGGCAGAGGCTTTAACCCACTGAGCCACCCAGACACTCCTGAAAAAACCTATCGTTTTTAAGATATTGTTTGTTCACAAAAATTTGGTAAGTTAATTGGCTTATTAATAAGACTTTTTATCATAAATTCCATTTTGCATTTGGCCCTGTGAGTGATGAAAAAAAAGTATGACATGAAATTTGACTAAAAGGTGAGCAAAAGATAGGAAGACAACAAATATGACAAATTATTAATTTAGTAATTACATGTTTTGTAGTGCTGCCATTTTGTAAGATAAAATTTAGAGAAGATTAATCAATGTAGAGTTATTCTCTGAAGAAGTTTTTAATTAATGACATTGGTAACTAAATTTATCATAGTTTTATTGGGTAATTCATATATCTGACACTTGATTTCATTTAATCATCCTAAAATAACCATCATGAGACAGGAAGTAATATTAGCATTTAGGTGAAAAAATGGAATTTCAGATGTCTTAATCATGTAATCTCTAAAAAGTAAATGATGAGGCATTTGAGCACAAATTCATCCAACAATGGCTCACACTCTTACCCACATTCACCTATAAATAAGTTCAACGATAAAATTATTATCTGAAAATGTAAAATTCAGCTTTTATTCCTATGATTAGTTGAGAAACTTGGAACCTCTTCTAAAATTACAGAACTATTACATGTGAAGAAATCCATACAGAAATTGTTGAAAAGATCAAAATCAGATATATGGTAAGAGATTCATATTTAATTCATATTAAATTTTGAATATATACCTTGTGTTAATCAGATGAGGTGTATATATGACAAAAGAAAGGGTACTAATTTCTGAGGACACATTACAAATTGGGAACTTTTTATTTAAGATTTTATTTATTTATTAGTGAGTGAGAGATCACGAGCAGGGGTTCAGGGACAGAGGAAGAAAAAGGCTCCCTGCAGAGCAGGGAGCCCCATGTGGACCTGGATTCCAGGACCCCAGGATCAGGACCTGAGCTGAAGGCAGATCCCCAACCGACGGAGCCACTCGGGCTCCTGCCGACTGGGAACGTTATTAACCCCAACCCTGGAGATGTCAGTAAGACTTATGATTCTTAGATGGTCATGGTGGCCTATTGACTGGGAAGGACCGATGACAGACAAGCAACACATGTCTTTGTAGGACAGTACTGTTTACACTCGGTTTTCTAAACTACATTGAAACCAGGTGGGCATCATACTACCACCGTTGCAGTAACAGGGTTGCTACTGTGCCAATGAATTTAGAGCATGCATACCTATGCCAAGTCTGTATTCCCTGACCTGACTTTTCTCTTCATGGCATGGAAACTTAACCTATTAAACAAGTACAAAGCATAGAATCAGCACAACCAGATTTTTAACAAAGGAACTTTAACCTAGTTATCAAAAGGGATCAATAATATCTTCAAAGTTTCTAGCTCAGTGTGACTCATTATGTTAATTCAATATAGATCTACAGTGGCTTTTTTCATCATTGTTAGGGTACAAATTTCCTTCTCCCTGCAGTTTGAGTAATAATATATCTCTTGGATCTTTGGAATTAATATATCGCATGAATATTGGTAAGTTTATGAAATATAATTTTTAATTTTTTAAATTTTTATATATTTGAGAGAAAGAAGGGGCAGGGAGAGGGGTAAGGGGAGCAGCAGATGGAGAGGGAGAGGCAGACTTCCCACTGAGCAGGGAGCAGGTCTTGTGGCTAGATCCCATGACCTTGGGATCTTGACCTGAGCCAAAGGCAGCCACCCAATACACTAAGCCACCCAGCTTCCCCTATAGAATATGATTTTAAAAGAGGAACATATAGATCACACTGAAAAGTTTAAAATATTTTACAGATTTGTGAAGCTGGAAATCATTTCATCAATGTAATCTTGGCTCATCCCAATCATACAGGTTAGTCCCTTTTTCTCTATATCTCTCTAAACAATGTTACTTACTATTTTTAAAAGACTTTAGTAAACAATTTTTAAAGCAATAGTTGGAAATATTAAAGTCAATATGTCCCAATTCTAGCTCCTGTATGCCTAAATTTTTCAAATATTTGAACTAAATCATATTTTCTAATAATGGTTTCTCTAAAATGAAATGTGCATGCCTCTCATGTCAAATGACAATCTCACTTAAATCTGTAAAAAATAAACATGATTAAGAATTAAGGCAGTACAAAATCTAGGATAAATGCCAATTTTCTTAGCTTAATTCCCAATCTTGATCTAATTTACATTAAAATTTATATAATCCCACTGTATTTCAAGTGACTTAGACTTTTTTCTAATAAAGTTGATCTTTGTTTGGCAAATTCAACAGCTCTGAAATAACAATGTCAGGGAGGACATTTTTAATTTAGTAGTTAGTTTAAAGTATTTCACAAAATTCACAGTGTTTATATAAAGATATTCTTCATAAATCAATCCTCTCATTCAGGTTTAATTATAGGTATGGATCCATACTGTTTTTTGTGTATGATACATAATTTAATCATAATTTTATTTTATTTTATTTTTTAAAGATTTTATTTATTTATTTGACAGAGATCACAAGTAGGCAGAGAGGAACGCAGATAGAGAGGGGAAGCAGGCTCCCTGCTGAGCAGAGATTCCGATGTGGGGCTGGATCCCCGGACCCTGGGATCATGACCTGAGCCAAATGCAGAGGCTTTAACTCACTGAGCCACCCAGGTGCCCCTAATTATAATTTCAAATGGCAATGGTCAACATTTGGAATTCATGCTGTTATCAGTCTAGTTGCAGATATAAAGCTGCCTTGCCTCAAGTGTTTTTTAACATCTACCTGGTTGTCTTAACATTTTCTTGCCTTGCACGTTTCTGGCAGGTTGGTGAAACACTTTCCAAAATAATTTTTTTCATATAATATATAGAATTACAAAGGAAAACCTTGCTCAAGTTTCTTCATCTATTTGGATTATGGTATCATGATTTGAAAATGAAAATTTTCAATCATTATGTTTCTGAAGTCAAACATGACTTTGGAATTGTTCATGTGAAAAAGACGTCTTTTCTTCAGTATTTACTTCATCTTTTATCTCGCTTGTATGTAGCTCGAGAAAGCAGATGCCAATCTAATCTTGTCTTCTCTATTAATTGATTTGGTCCTTTTGTCTTGAGACTCAAAGGACTTTTTCTTTAACACTAAGTCTATTAATTTTGTCAGCTATGTTTTAGAGTTCATAATTTCAGGACAATTTTCCCAAAAACATGATGCAATCTTCCAGGAGGTTGAGTCATGTCTTTTTTTTTTTTTTTTTTTAAGTTCTAGAAGGTTCTAATTTGTTTTGTTGCATTGTGGGCTTTATTAGGGGGTAAATTATATATAAGTTATATCTTTATATGTTAATATCTTTCATTTTCTATTTTTAGTTTTTGTTTGTTTTTGGCTGTTTTTGTTCATCTACTTAATATTCCCTATTCTATTAAACATTCCACTCTTAGGCAAATCGAAATGTCTGTATTACTGAGAAGTCTTTTTTCCTTTTCTACAATTTCTTTCTTGAGTACAATCACCTTTCATATTTTTTTTTCTTTGTGTTTTGGCCATATCTATTTTGAGTTTTGGAATTCTTAATAGTTATGTTCTCTGGTATCTGCAAATGCTTCTGTGTAGGCATGTTCTGTTAAAATTTTTCAATTTTCTTTTTTGGGGGGATGTTTTTATCAGCATGGAGAAAATAACTTCCTATTTTATTGACATAGAAAGCTTATATGAATGCCAATCAACTTCTGTTCATTTTCAAGTGTATGGATTGTCCTAAAAGAGGAATAACAAATGTTTTCTTATAGATGGGAACTTGAAGTAGAGTCCCTAAAGTGTATTCTGGAGGGGATGGGGGTTTTCTTTATTGGGTCTTTTGATTTTTTTTTTTTTTTGGGTCTTTTGATTCTTTAAACAGTCCTTTTTCCTAACCTCACAATTCCCAGAACTGTTTTCTTCTTTTCTTTCTCTTCCAAACCTCCAAGCAATGTCTTCCCCATGAACTGCTCTTTGATACTACTTTTCTTTTCATGGAAGCAGTGTTTTCTAAGATGAAAACCTTCTGGTATCACTACTTCCAAATCATTTCATCTCATTTCAGTTCTTCATATCCAGTGTTCTGACCTACCAGGTATCAGACCATTTCTCAGGGTAGACCTTCTTTTTCTTATCATGAATTCTAGATTTCTATAATACAGTACATTCTTGTTTTCTTACATAAACTCCTTTTTTAAAATACCAGTTCTTTTATTGGCTTTGAAAAATTTCTGCTACTCCTGAGTTTTTACTCCCCATTATGTATTAATTGAAATTTATAATAATATCTCTTCCTTAGAAGTGCTTTAGTCCTAAGTTATGTATAGGGAGATCATTTAACGTATATTATTTAAACAAGATGTCACAAAATGTGCTCCCCAGTAGATACAATCTGATATAGAATAAGTTTAAAATAAATTTATTACAAAGTATGGAAAAGAAGAAAGGAAGGAGAATTTTGCTAAGTGGGAAATTGATGCTGTCTCATGGGGGCCTTAGTCAATTCTATAGAAGTATCTGATGCTAGGATAATCTTGCTGACTTGTGTCTTATGTTGGAACAAGTAGAAAAAAAGGTAAAGCCTCTGCCTTCGGCTCGGGTCATGATCCCGGGGTCCTGGGATCGAGCCCCACATTGGGCTCTCTGCTCCGCAGGGAGCCTGCTTCCTCCTCTCTCTCTGCCTGCCTGTATGCCTACTTGTGATCTCTGTCAAATAAATAAAATAAAATAAAATAAAATAAAATAAAATAAAATAAAATTTAAAAAAAGGTAACTTAGGTGTGGATCTCTCTGGGAAATGTGAATGACCAAGGATAAGGCAGCTCTCTTTAGTCAAAACCATTCTCTCAGAGGGTCTGATAGTTGAAAACTTTCTGCTATGAGCACTCCCAGCATTTATGGAAGAAGTCCATCATACCTACTAGGGATCTTGACAGTGTATCACAGAAACCATCACAGTCTCTTTTTATTTATTTATTTTTTTTCACAGATCCAATTTGTATACTTTTTGGTAGTAGCCCTGTGAAGATGGCAGTAGGTCTCTCTTTCTGGGGGAAATTTAAAGGAGACATGCTAGTGGGAGAGTACACAGCCTTAACCACTGTACATGGTCTTGGTAAAACAACTGATGTGTGCTAATTTTCTTCTCTACAAATTGGTAGATTCCTTTTACCCTCAACATGCTCGTTTAATGTCTCAGGGATTATCTGTTGGCATGACCTAGATATTCTCTCTCTCTCTCTCTCTCTCTCTCTCTTTTTTTTTTTTTTTTAAAGTCAGGGGAAGGGGAGAAGGAGAGAGAGAGAGAGCATCTTAAGCAGGCGCCATGCCCATTATGGAGCCCAACGTGACGCTTGTTCTCTCAACCCTGAGATCACGACCCGAGCTGAAATCAAGAGATGTTTAACTGACTGAGCCAATCATTCAGGTGCCCCTACTAGATCCTCAACTAGAGGATACAATTTTCATGGATACTTGTTCTAGTGTTGCAGGGCCTTCTTTCCTGAGGTCCCAGGTTGTTCTTCCACCAATGAAGTTAGTGTCTTACAACTGGTTGAAGTCCAAAAACTGGGAAAGAATTTTATATTAAGTCAGCTGCCCCAAATCTCTTTTCATCTCTATTCATCTCTTATTTTGCCTGAATTCAGAAATAGTGGTGTTGAGTAAACATCAGCTAGTCGCTACGAATGTTTCATTATTTTAACTAGCCATAATGCTTTGTGGATCAAACTTCTTCTGAATTTACTACACATTTTGGCTTATGACAGCTAAGTGCTGCCACTAGAAATGCCTTGATTTGGGAGAAGGGGAAGTACGGATCCTTAAATCTCGATCACTACTAGTTCATTCTAATTCTAAGATGACATCACTTATACTCAGACTGGAACTGCAGAAAAACAACATTAATCTTAGTGCTGGTGTGCCCCTTTTATGAAAACATTCCTTATAGTTTTGGAAAATGCTCTAAGAACATAAAAAAGAACATGGGAATATGGAACATGAAAAAAAATTTTCCCATAGAAAGGGGTCTTCCTTTTTCAGCCTTATATAGATTAATCTAGGATCCCTGCTTTTCCAGACCATTTGATACCTTTCCCCTGCTTGCCATGGAATTCTAACATTTCTTCCTCACTTACTGTATGCCATTACTCTGCTCATGCTTCCAGGTGCACATTAGTGTGTTTGTACCATTTTAGCAGAACATTATTTCCTATATCTCAGAAGACTGTGTCAACATAATAAACCTACCCTGGTCCCAATTTTATATTTTGCCTTTTTCATCAAGCACCCCAATCACAGTACATTTTCTCATAATATGCTACCACATGGTAGCTGGGTTCTGTACGTCCATTGGGGCATAATCTTTTATTGTTGTTGTTGTTCCCTTATCAGATCCAGAACAAACTCAGGTAGGTTATTTTGAATTGGAACCCTAGCCTATAACATAGGAGTTAAGAGAGGGCATGGAGAAGATCCTAGAGGGGATTTTCTTGCAACATAGTGGCATATGTATTGCCTTTAAGCAAGGGAGTGTGCTAACTTTTAATAGGGAGGAGTGGATGACTTCTGCAGGTTCAGGGAGTTCATGGAAATCTATATATTCCAAGATTTTGTGAACAACAACCTTGGCTTAGCAGACCTAGTTTGGATCAGAGTTCTTTTTTCTTTGAAGCCTGACTACTCTTTCAAGTAAGTCCTTGTCCTGGTCTTCAGCTCTCTCTGTCTTTCTCTCATTGCAAGAGATTAGAGTATCTCTGATGAGGTCCTCTAACTTTCTCATGGCTGGATTTTAATTGCCAATTGTCAATTTCAATTTCAGCTGTCTTTATCAAGAGCACTGAGAGTAATCACCACTTAACTTCATTGGACCAAGTAAAGCATTCCTTTCCACCAATAGAGCATGCCAGCATACCACTGGTAAAAGGCTTTATATTTGCAGAGCTACTCTTGTACCAGCAGCTATCTGTATGGGACCTACTGTTAACGATGGAGTACTCATTGCAGGCTTTTCAGTAGGTCATTCCACTTTAAAATCCCATTCTTAAAAAAAAAAAAAAAAAAAAAAAAGTGCTGTTGATTCAGTTTTCTGGGATGCAGATGCTGAAGTGGAGATTAGCATTCAGGAGGTCTCCTAGAGAGTGATTTTATGAATAGGGAAAAAATAGTCATGTTTGGGGAGAAAATTGAAAGTCTGCAATTTCAAGGGGAGTTTCAGACGAACCTGTGGGGCAAGTGTTATTCTGAGTTGAATCCTTTACTTACCACATTGGTAAAATATTGGATTGTGGCTACACCAAAGAGTGAGTGTGATCTTGTGTAAGGTTGATACCTTCTGCCTGACAATCTTCATAGAAGGTGCTGAGAGTTTAAAGTTTTCTGTCAGCAGTTATTCCTGAAGCTGTGGAATAAACTCTTATACCCGAAGAAGAATCTGGGGAGTGTAGCACTGCAATGTAAAAAATCTTCTGACTTTTATTTAATAGAAGTTCTATTAGAAATAGTAACTATTGATTGAGAAAACCTTTCATGGCAATGCAAGTACTAAATTAGTAACCTCTAGATTTACATCTTAACATTAACAGTAAGTAGATACAGGAGATAGTATCTATATACATATATTTTTCTGGGTCCCAAGACATATTGATTATTAAATCTACAAACTAGAAGAAATGCATGTGTGTGAATCCCTGAACATTTCCACTACCACTAGAGGCTGAACAGTCATAAACTAGGTTTAACCCAGATTATCTTTTGTGCATCTTCCACCTCTGAAATGCAGTTTTTATAACATGGATAGTAGGTTCCTCAATCACCTTTCTTCTGATGAATATATGGATGTTACAAAAAGGCACTTGCATGTATGTTATCAAGAGAATCTGTAATATTAAATTGTATATGTATTTATCCTTATCTTGAAATAAGCTGTACATGAAATCTGCCCAGTACCTAATATATTTTTTACTTTGATATTTTAACAATAGTTACAATTCTGAAAACAACATCCTGACATTTCATTATGACTTTAGAATTATAACTAAAACAGATTAGTTGATGTGTTATCTGATTAAATTTGCTATGGAGAATAAACAGTAATTTTATAATTCATATTTACTTTTACAAATGTCATTGCTCAAAGCTCAACTTGAAATCACTATAAATTTGTTATCTAAAACATTTCTTGAAAGAAATTAGAAGGCAAAAAAAATCACAAAAATCAAGTGACAATATGCTAAGTATAATGAAAACTGTAAATAACAATTCTAATCGCTAAGCAGAAGTAATTTATGTGGTATTTCTGAATATTAACTATGCTGATATTCATTGTAATCCTCTTATGAGAGATTTTCACACTTTTCTAATATAAATGACATCTTTATAAAATTCCCCTTGTATTTTCACTAATTAAATAGAAAGGGAGGTTTCAAGTATTTAATATTCTCAACCAAAAACATCATCTTCTTTGATACTAAAAGAGAAGAGGCATGCAATTGTTAAAGCACATTTACTATTTCACTATGCAATTCAGCTGCATCTATTATGCAAAATAACCTTTATATATTGGAATTTAAAGAACTGATTATCATGGTATCTTCTGTAATTTTATAGTAACATAGCTATAGACAGAAAATGACAGATATTCTGTTTGAGTCAAAAGGTCATAACATTTGAAACTGGGATTCTTCTGAGTAATTTAGGAAATAGGTTTCTATAAATATGTGATGACATTTTATGTAGTATAAGTTATTCCAAGGAATTTAGAATTATATAAGACATATGATTAAATTTGTAATGTGTATCATCATTGATATTTTATATCCTTCTTTCTAAAAGGAATTAATGCATGTTTTCCAAGTCCAAATTATAACCCCTTCACATGGATGTTTTTCCTGGTGTCATGTCCTAACTACACCTATGAGGTATGTTATTTATTTATGTAAATAATTAAACTTTATCCCATGATATAATAAATGCATATGTTTATGTATTTACATATATATTAAAGTTTAATATATATGATTATACACAGGTTTTATCTGTAGATTTGGCACAGGGATAAATTATGATATATTATTTCAATTTGAGTTATAGGCATAGGAAAATAGAACATTTAACCACAATTTTCCCTGCAAAAAATGAATATTTTCGCATGTATTTATTTAAAAAATATAATCTTCATATAAAATGTCTTAAGATATTTCAGGATTCCTTTTTATATCTTCGAAGTTTTTGGAACAAAATCTTTCATTTTGTTTTATGAATATGATGCTGTTTATGGAATTATGACTATCATTTTTAACAACAAAAGTATTATTTGGGGGAAATTTATTTCTACCTATAGTTTTTCTACTGTGTTTTAAGCTTTCACATTACCTATATAATATCACAAATGAAAAAAAAATACTATATTAATCATAGGTATTTATTAATTTATGTTTTAATCTAACAGATTGGATCATGGATTAGTTTCACAATCATGACACAAACTCTGCCAGGTAAGACCTAGGTTTTTTGACATTTAAGTAAATGCATCTTTGGGAGAAGTGGTTTCTGAGAACAAATTTCTATAGTGCTAAAGTTTGGCATTTATGCAAAAGGATTTGGGGTTTCTATGTTTATTTTTATCTTAGATATTTTTAGCAGTATTAAAATATAATGAAACAAAATTATCTAGGTAATGGTGGCTTAATCCAACCTGGAAAATGTAGCCCAAACATATTTATTAAGCAGCAAGAATTTGTTAACAGAAGTGGTATTAATAATGCACTTCACTTGAAACTCTCCCTTATGCATGAACACAGACATGTGTATGTGTTGTGTCCTTCAAGTGTCCATGATGTCTCTGAAGGGAAGGCTGGGAGCATAAGTGTGTAATCTTAAATGCTGGGCATTTTAACACACATACAAGATTTAAATTGAAATGGGCTGCATGTATTAGAAAGGGTATGTATTACATCCATTTCATCCATTATTTGTTCCATTGTATAAAATTTTTGAATCATAATTAATGCAGTTTGCCATATGCATGTGTGTGCGCAGATGTATATTATATACATAAAGAAAACTACTACTGAAAAATTCAGAGAGTTAAAAATTCCTTATTTGGAAATAATTTGCCACAGTTGGAAGTAAAAAAAAAAATGTGGATTTATTTTGACTTCTGCTATGTACTTTCTATGTTTATTCAATCATACAATAAAAATAGTTGAACATATATTATGTTCGGCAATTAATATGAGTAAAGAAAATTGACATGGAAGTATGAAGTACTTGAGAAATATTTTAAGAGCTAAATATGATAGTTTTTTTCTAATATAACTTGCTATATCTATCATAGGAATAAGAAAGAATAATTACTTCCCTTTCTTTTTTTTTTTTTTTTGTAGTTGGGATTTTTACACTTCTGATGAGTATCCAGATGTCTCTGTGGGCACAAAAGAAACATAAGATTTATTTGAAGAAATTCAATTCTTATATGCATAGAAAATCAGCAATGATTCCATTCATACTGTAGGAAAAGTGTATAGAAGAACAGTATATAATCTCAATAAATCAGACATGGGCAATTGTTGACTATAATTAACAGAATTTCAAAAACTACAGTACTTTTACTGAGGGGTGCCTGGGTGGCTCAGTGGGTTAAGCCTCTGCCTTCGGCTCAGGTCACGATTTCAGGGTCCTGGGATCGAGTCCCATATCGGGCTCTCTGCTCAGCAGGGAACCTGCTTCCTCCTCTCTCTCTCTGCTTGTCTCTCTGCCTACTTGTGATTTCTCTCCATCAAATAAATAAACAAAATCTTAAAAAAAAAAAACTACAGTACTTTTACTGAGTAGAAGTATTAAATGGTAGAATCTAGCTAAATTTAGAGGAATAAACCTGAGGCAAATAAAAAGTAGAAACTACAAATATGACTAATAAAAAATAGTACCTAATATATTTTCAAAAGGTTGATCCTTAAACAAGATTTTCTTACTTCATTCAATATTTCATAATACTATTTGCTTAAGACAAACACCTGAATTCTAAAGTAAAAAAAAAAAATTGTGACATTTAAGTCACTTGAATTTTACATATTTTGATAGTAATTTATTATTTTCTTTATTGTTCAACATGTTATTGAGAAGTACATTTCAATTTCTTATGAAAATTCTACCTATATTAAAAGTTAAACATGTAATTTATCATATTCATTTACTCATACATACATTCTATGTTGCCATTCTGAAACTATAAAAATTAAAATATTTTCTAGACATTTTTACTAAATCATTTGAATATATACTGCATATTAAATATATATTTATATTTCCATATAAACCATGTTTATATATAAATATATATTGAAATATGTGTATTTCAAATTAATTATATGTGATGACAGAATACATTGAAGATCTTTTGAGATTGAGTGGAAATATGTCCTATGTCCTCTCAAAGCTTGTTTGCATATGTGTGAGTGTGTATTTGAATATGCATGTATATTATGACAGGGAGATGACTGATAGAAAAATCAGTTAAATTTTTTTTCAAATTTGAGTATTTTTCACTTTTAAATTGGGATTCTTTAGATTTGTTAATTTCTAGAGCCTTTCAAATTTCTCCATATATATAAAAATAGCCTCATTAAAGCTGTTATATTATATGCATATTTGACTAAATATCTTTGGTAAATGTAGGTATGTATTCATCTGTGGGTATCTATCATTAATATGTGTGTCAAATTATTCAAAAAATAACAAAAGCACCATTTTAAAAGCTTTGTTATCATTCCCAAATGTATAGCATTAAAATATCTCAGAGGAAGACAACAAATTGAACTCCCTAATACCTATTCAGCAAAGTAGCACAGAATCATGCAAAAGTCTTAAAAAGAGGTACTAAGGCTTTAAACCACATATGCAGGATACACCTATGTAATCAACCACCTGTGATAATTATCTTTGTTGAAAGACAAAGAATATGTTATGTATTCTTAACTAGATCCTAACTGATGCCAATCCAGGAAATTTGCACATTCTTATAGGACTAGAAGCTCTTTGATGCAGCAAGGAAGAATGGGATACATATAGGACAGACATCTCTCTTCCCATGGTGCTACATTCCCTCATATCTATCTCATATCAATCATTTCCTTACAGTTGGGAATCATACCTTGGTTAATGGGTTACAAACTGCTTTTTGAAATTTATTTCTTTCTAATTTTTATTTCCTGGAGGAATCATCACCTCAAAAAGGGAAACTGAGCCTGGTGGCTGGTATTATGGAGGGCACGTATTGCATGGAGCACTGGGTGTGGTGCATAAACAATGAATTTTGGGACACTGAAAAAAATAAGATAAAAAAAATTTTAAAAAGAACCTGATAAATTTACACCATTTTGTTATCAACATTAATGCCACAAATATAACCAATAATCCCACCATCAGGCAATTACCCAAATATAAGAACACTAATTCAAGGGGACACATGCATACTTATGTTTACAGCAGCATTATCTACAATAGCCAAAATTTGGAAGCAGCCCAAATATCTGTCAATTGATGATATAATGGCTAAAGAATATAGGTATATGTACACACAGATACACACACACAGACATACTATTCAGCCATAAAAAATTCAGTCATTTACTATGACAAGGATGGAGCTAAAGAGTATCATGATAAGTGAAAAGAGTCAGAGAAAGAAAAATACCATAGGATTTCATTCCTATGTGGAATTTAAGAAACAAAGCCAACAAGCAAAGGGAAAGACAACCATCTGATGTTACTGGGGCCAGGAGGCATTAAACAGGTAATGGGGATTAAGGAGTACCCTTTTTATGATGAGTATATGCAACTGTTGAGTTACTATATTGTACTCCTGAAACTAATTTAACACTGTATGTTAACTAACTGGAAGTAAAAACTTAAATAAAATTAAACAAAACAAAATACTTGGATCCTAGGATTTCAAAGAAGGATATAGGATCTATCCTTAATGAACAAGAATAATAATTATTCTAGGGGCGCCTGGGTGGGTCAGTGGGTTAAAGCCTCTGACCAGGTCATGATCTCAGGGTCCTGGGATTGAGCTGGCATCGGGCATCGGGATCTTTGATCAGCGGGGAGCCTGCTTCCTCTTCTCTCTCTCTGCCTGCCTTTCTGCCTACTTGTGATCTCTGTCTGTCAAATAAGTAAATAAAATCTTAAAAAAAAGAATAATAATTATTCTAAATGAATCAGTAACTCAGTAGTCACATTGTTATTCTAAAATGGGTGAGTGGTTATGATGCCTCAGCAAAAAGGATACTGTACAAATGAGATGTTCAAACAGCTAAGTTTGCTTGAAGAAAAACTGAATAGAAAAAATCTTCATAGGGACACAGTGTCTGTGTCTTTTATTTCTATATTTCACAAATGGAAACATGTAAAATGAATATTTCCTTTCCATTAACTGACATAGTAATATAGAACTATTTACCAGCCCTTTATGGTTAATAAAAACAACATAAAAATAGCCTGATGGTAGTATTTTCATGACTATTTCAAAGTAATACATAAGTTCTCCAAATATCATCTACACTCTGATTTCAAACATCTAAAGATATTGTAAGTTTTTTGTTGTTGTTGTTGTTTTTGTTTTTATGTTTTTGCTTTTATTCACTTGGCTGCATGGATAAAAAAGCAATGAAGATTACCTCAAGCTGTAAATGCCTGTTCAAATTATGGAACTGGGAATCTGATTCATACGCTCAATCTTCTCTCAGGCCATTTGCTAATATCTTAAAATTGCTCTTCATTTCTATCACTTTTGCAGAACATACCATTTATAAAAACAAAACAAAACCCCCTAAAATCTAAAAAAATAAAAATATATCATTAATGGTTATAGATCTATAAAATCATGTCCAGTGATATCTTCATAGAGTTATTTATTGATTTAATTGATGTTTTATAACTCCCTTCTACACATCTAGAGACAAATCAGTTTAAGTGTCTTTAAGAGGTTGAAACTCAGTTTAAGGGTCTTTAGGAGGATGAAACTATGCAATGTAGAAAAGACCAGGTTGGCAAATGAGTCTCACACAATGGGTCCCTCCATTAACGTAGAACTTACTATGTCTTCACAAATAAGGGCCCCATTCCCAACAAAGCCTGGAAATAAACTTAAGCAGGAGGGCAAAAATATAATCACAGATTTTAGCCTCTATCATCCAAATCATTTACCCAAAGAATATAATTATTAAGAACCCTGTCAAGCTATAGCTTTGCACCTTCCATTTCAAGTTAAGAATGGTAGCCAATAACATATTTCAGTTTTATGAATATAATTAATCATTTAATTACACAGTAATTACATTTAGTTACAATCAGAATTTTCTGATTGATACTGGATTTGTGATTACATATATTAAAATATTACAGTTCATTTAATCTAATAATTATACTAATAGTTACTTTTTTGAATCATTGTCTGGAATAATACTTTCTCTAATCCCAAATAAAAATTTGCAAAGAGTGTTTTTAAAATATCACATCTTCATCTCTCACATATTTCTTATAAAAAGTAGCTGGAGAAAGAAAATAATGAAAAGAGAACAACAAACGTTAAGTCAGCTGCTATGCTACCCCAAATTATCACAGCATACTGCTTCTGCTCTCCACCCCTTCATCATGTCTACCTCAAACTGCTATTTTATAGGTGTTTTCAGTTTGTTTGCATGTGTTTAAAAAAAAAAGTTTTGCCTCTAATTTTGAATAAAAATAGACATGTAGTGCATTTTGCTTTTTAGTAAGCTTTGTGGAAACAAAAGTTGTTCTCTGACTCATACACAGACACACACAGACACACACACTGCAATTTCAAGCACTATCATTTCTTAAGAGGAAAAAATATGTCAGGTCAAATAATTTTTAAGTAAATGAAGCATATTCTTATTTTATAAATGTGCATGTTTTATCTTCCCTATAGAAATGTTATGTCTAATCTCCAAACATTATCAAATCAGAAATTTCAACATTATAGTTTAATATCTTGTATATTGACCTTTAATCTTCAGTAATTAAGCATATTTTCAAGGTATTTAAGTTCAATTTTAAGTAACTAGTATTCAGTACATGTTAAGTTTTAGTACTTGACATATTGCAATTAAAACATTTATTCTCATAAGATAAAATAAAATGACCTGTGAATTGATAATAAGGGTTCTTTCTACTTTTATTTTAGTAAAGAAGAAAGGAAAACCTTTATGTTCCTCCTGGATATTAAGGGTGATTATAGCAAATGTTACTTTATAAGCACAATTAAGGGCATTTATGCAGCTTTTGTATAATGATAATAATTAAAAACCATTTATTTTAAAGGCTGCTTAAAAGTTAATTTTCACCCAGGTGCATATTGAAGCCTATAATTAGCCTTCCTTCAGAGGAGGTTTGGTTGACGAAATGCATAAAAGCATTTCCAGAGGCAGAAGTTCCCTGCTAAAACGAGATTTTGGTTTTTAACTTTAGCTTGATAATGGGGCTTAAAATATGTGAGAAAAAATGCTCAGACATATTTTAAAAAATGAATCTATAATCATCCTAGATTGATTTTATTGAGAAGACATATAGAAGACATATTTACATACACTTTGACTATTTGAGAAATGAGGTCCTATAAGATTGGTAGGGGGAAAATGTTATTATTTACAACAAATATA